CGTCCTGGAGGCCAGCTCCACTCACCAGGTTCGTAGAGAACGAGGGGAGGTGGAGTCCCGACAGCAAGCCCGACGGGGCCGCAGGACACGGTAGAACCGTGGAAGAGTGCGCAAGGACTGGGCCCCTAGAGGGGTCAGCCAGGGAGACTGCGACAGGCCGACTGAGCGGCGTGAGTGTGGTGCTGTCGCGAAAGAAAGAGCGCGAAGCACCAGAGTCAAGTGTGAAAGTGTGCAGGGCCTCAGTAGGTGCAGTACCAGAGAGAGCAGACTCACCAGCACCTGGAGCAGCAGACTCACCAGTACCTCAAGCAGCAGACGCACTAGCACCTAGAGCAGCAGCCTCAATGCTCGGGTCGCGCGGGACACTCAGGTAACAGTCACCCTCAGAACTATCAGTCAAAGCATACATGGCAACAAGGATAGCATCGAAATCAAGATCAAAGATAGCCACATTCTGCCTAAGCAGATCATGCCAGCGAGGGAGCTCAGCAGCGTCAGGAAACTGGGCACGCCAGGCGTCAGTCAAACGACCGAAGCAGCGCTGCGCAGTGTGTGGCAGCCCGCACGTCTCCCCACGACGACTGCCGGTGCGAAGAATTTATACGCAGGGACCAGCACCCCCATACCTCCCACGCCCAGCGTACCACTCACGAAGCTGCTGGGACGACGGGGTCTCACGGGAACGCGGCTGCTGCTCGCGCTGGCCACCACCAAAGCCTCCACGCTGCGCGGCTGCACCTCAACCAGCACGACCGCCGCCGCCACCTCCACCACCGCTGCCGCTGCCTCCACCACCGCTGCCGCTGCCTCCACCACCTCCGCCGCTGCCCCCACCACCTCCACTGCCTCCACTGAAGCCCCCACTCCCGGCACCACCCCCACCTCCACCGCCACCTCCTCTGCCTCCTCCACCGCCTCCGCCGCCGCCCCCGCCGTCCCCTCCACCACCCTTGTTCCCCTTGCCATTGTTGTTGCGGCGTCTCCCACTAGGAGCAGACGCAGTCCCGACCTCCTCAGTGCCAACGAGGTCGACAGCAGCAGCAGAAGCAACAGAGGGGAGAAGGGGGACAGGGGAACACCCCTCAAAGAAAGGGGTGCGACGGTCGCCGCGAGAAGCACCTACAGCTAAGATACTCTTCTCAGCTGCAGCGAGGCGCTCCTCTAGCAAGTCGACAGTGAGCTCGGTCGGGCAAAGGGAGAGAAAGTGGTCCCTGACTGACGCAAGGGAGTCAGGGAGGCGGGTGACTAGGTAGTAAAGGGTGATGTACATGTCAGAGGTCCACTGGTGATCCCCGATTGATCCTACGGAAGGGTTACAGGCTCGTTGTCCTGGGGGGTTATGGGCGCACTGACCCGCTACTTAACAAGCCCTTTTATCCCAATGGTCTAGTGGTTGGGATTCTGACATGGTATCAGAGCGGTCTCGGGTTCGAATCCCAGTGTGTGCACTTCGGGCATCCCAGTGCGGGGGGGTGTCAAAGGTCCACTGGTGATCCCCGATTGATCCTACGGAAGGGTTACAGGCTTGTTGTCCTGGGGGGTTATGGGCGCACTGATCCGCTACTTAACAAGCCCTTTTATCCCAATGGTCTAGTGGTTGGGATTCTGACAGTACATGGGGGGGGGTTCTTGGCACAGAACTCAGTGGGAAGGGCAGCGCGGTAGCGGGCGTCACTAGTGCGGTGGTGAGCAATGAGGTCAGCGATTGTGGCAAAGGCGGCAAGGTCAGGGAAAAGGTACGGCAGCATGAGGCGGCTGAGGGCAGCAGTGGCAGGGGAGGAGTAGCGCGCAACGACAGCGTCGTACAAAGACTTAGCAGTCTTGTACTGGCCAAAATGCGCGCGCTCAGCAGGCAGCAGGTGACTACGAACAGCAAGACGAGCAACAGCGTCACGAGTGGTCCACTGCGAGCGAACCGTACTGTCAGCAGTGGCAGCAGGTGCACTAGAGACACCGGATGTGTGATCGAAAAGGGATACTCCATCCCTAGAGTCACACTGAAGAAAGAGCTGCAGTTCGTCAACCCACACGTCAAAGTCAACTGCACGTCCCTCAGCATCAAAGGTGAGAAAAGTAGGGCTAGCCATAGCAGCAGTAGCAGCAGTAGCAGCAGTAGCTGCAGTAGCAGCAGAGGTAGTAGGGCAGGCAGGGCAGTGCGGCTCAGTAGGGCGGCGCGGCTCGGTAGGGCGGCGCGGCTCGGTAGAGCGGCGCGGCTCAGTGGGCGGCGCGGCTCGGCTGAGCGGCGCGGCTCGGCTGGGCGGCGCGGCTCGGATCCTGGCGGCACGGGTGCTTACCAGGGGCGGGTGCAGGGCCGCGCCGTGACAGCAGGGGCCGCGACAGCTGGGGCCGCGACAGCAGGGGCCGCGTCAGCAGGGGCCGCGACTGTAGGGGCCGCGCCAGTAGGGGCGGCGACGGCAGGGGCTGCGACAGCAGGGGTCGCGACAGAAGGGGCCGCGATAACAGGGGCCGCGTCAGCAGGGGCCGCGGCAACAGGGGCCGCGATAGCAGGTGCGGCGACGGCAGGGGCCGCGACAGCAGGGGCCTCGATGGCTTGGGGCCGCAACAGTAGCAGGGGCCGCGATGGCAGCAGGGGCCGCGACGGCAGGTGGGGTCGCGTCAGCAGTAGGGGCCGCGCCAGGCAGTAGGGGCCGTGACGGCAGTTAGGGCCGCGACGGCAGGTGGGGCCGCGACAGCAGTAGGGGTCGCGACTGCAGCAGGGGCCGTGACGGGCGGCGACGGCAGGGCCGCGACGGGCGGCGAACAGGCCGCAACGGGCGGCAAAGGGGCCACGACGGGCGGGAAAGGGGCCAGCGTCGGGCGTCTAGGGCAGGGCCGCGACGGGCCAGAGAAGGCAGGGCCGCGACGGGCCGGACTAGGGCAGGGCGCAAGGCGCGCTTCAGGCAGGGCGCGATGCGCGCTTCGGGCAGGGCAGGAAAAAAAAGTTGTGGTGGGCCCTTAAAAACGTTCCCACTAGGGAACCTGCTCAGAATACCATGTTGAAATGTGAACGAATGGATCACTTAACTAGCAAGCAGGTGGGTACAAGTAGGAAACCTAAAAGTGTTGTACCCTATGAGAACTACCCCACTACAGCCTAGATAGACTATAGTATATAAGTTTGACACGGGTCATGCCGTCGCGCAGCACGACACTCTGCGCACCACCTGCGGCGCAGATGGCCTTTCAACCGCGGTTCGCGCTGGCGACGAGGCAGCCTTCGCTCGTCGCCATTAGCACGAAAAACTACGCGTCGTCGAGTCGTAGCGGGCCTACGACTCCGACGGGAATTGCCACGTGACCGACGACCATCTCGCAGCATGCGCTGCAGATCACGTCGAACGGGAGCGATGTGTTCGGCGAGACAAGAAGAGGTTCGGCGGCGCTCGCGATGGGTTCGATTCCCAACAGCCCGCCGTTTCTGGTGCTGATGGCGCCATGTATTAGTGCAGATGAGAAAGCACGAGAGGAATCAGGTTGAGAGGGAGGGAGAGAGAAACAGGAGGAAAAATAACACGAGAGATTGGATTGGAGGGAATGGGAGCATCGATGCTTGCCAGCACAGCCAACGGTGTAGGAACCCTCGCAGCCCTCAAGCACCACATGGTTGCCACATTCCGATTAGCCAACGCTTTATGCTGGAGCGAAACTGCCCAATGGAGTGCTGGCACCGCAGGAATCTGAGATTCCTTGTAATCGCGGGCAAAACCATACGGAACAAGTAAGAATTGGTTTCAGTGTTAGTTTCGTTACAACGTTGTGGAATCAGTGTACTTACGAAAAAAAGTCTGAAATTTCAGTGTGGCCTAACACAAAAGGCTGAAAGATCAGTCCCACAAAAATCTCAGCACTGATTTTTCAGTGTAGGTAAAAAAAGGACTGCCAAAATCAGGAATTTCAGGGTTTTTTTCCTGATATCTGAGGCACTGCTGCTTCGCCCTTACATCCCAAGCACGAGCCAACTGCCTCGCCACCGCCCGCCATCCATGACTCGCCCTGCATCGGAGCCGATCATCCAGCCCGAAAAATTTCGGAGCCATCGGATTCGCCACCCCACAAGCACCAAGAGGATCGAGTTCCTCGTTCGCTGGAAGGCCGCACGCCAACTGAGGATAGCTGGGTGCCTCTGGCCAACATCGAAAACCACCGTGCCCTGCAAGTGTACCCGAGGAGCCGGGGTTTCCGCGATATACACACACTCGCGTAGCGGAGGGGGCTTCTTGAGGGGGGGGAGGGGGGGGGGGGAGGGGGGGGGGGGGGGGGTAGTGTAAGGAATTTTCTTGCTATTTCTTACTGCGACCGTCCACATCGCGTACAGCAGCAGCCGTTGTTTGCCCGTTACTGCTAATGGGGCTTCGCCAACTTCGCGTGCACTGTTTCACCAACCTCGCACTGCTGGAGCAGCCGAGTCGGCCTACGCTTCGGGACTAGCCCGAACCTCGCGCCAGCGTAGCACTAGCTAGCTCGCACGCACCGCGTTACGATTCACACATTTTCGCGTATAAGTATTCGCTCATGCCTTCTCTCTTATTTTGTACTCATTGAACACTAGTGCAATCCTCGCTACCTAGATTCATTGCACCCGTAACATTTATGTTCATTCTACCTGCGGCTGAACACCACAAGAAAATGATTCGGGGATTGTCGAGTGTTCTTATCTGCACCCTCGTTAGAAGAAACCCTAGCCCGCAGACAAAGTCACCGAACCAACAGATTCAAATTTGTAAGCGTTCGATCGAGACTCGATAATCTCGTTGGGGGGCGTGGTCTTCATCCCACCGTCTGTTTGGTGCGGACCCCTCAGCCCCACCGATATCCACCAACCATCCTGCTGCCTCCTTCCATTCTTCACCCACCTCAGAAACATGCGAGAAACAAGGAACCAGCAGCAATAATCAGAAGTGAAAAGCAGGATTCTTGAAGCACGGTTGCTTTGTATCCTGAATTCTTGAAGTAGCGCGTCGTGTGTCGCGTGTCGCTCGCTCAATGCGGGGCCTTCACGGATGGTCGCGCTGTGCGATAGCGAAGGGTGGGGCCTTTTGATGGTCCAGCTTCCTGGCAAGATGCCGTCAGCTGAAACAGAGGATGACGGGGTGGTGGAGGTTTCGTCGGATGATTCCAGCCAGGATCAGAGTCCAGAAGGAGGACGGTTGCCCGTCGGTTTGGAAGTCGAGGTATCTAATCCGTTTCGATTCCTATAATTTCGTTTCTTATCGTCGCGCAGGCGACAAATCTGGAATTTAGGAATTTCATTCGTGCGTCCAAGTCGATTAAGTCCACCAGGCGTAACATTGGTGACCATATAATATGTTGTCATCAGACGTATTCACTTTAGCTTCGCGGCTGCTTTCTTGTAGCTACTGCGACCAGGGCTAGTACTTTTTGTAAATCATTATCCTAAGTTTCGTATTTTCTGCTACTCCGTAGCGCAATTTCCACTTTAAGCACGGATTTCCGTCGTTTCCCTCCGCCGATATCCCGCAGGTGCGGCAGCTGGAGGAGGGCTTGCGCGGGTCATGGCACCCGGCGGCGGTGGTGGGCGTGGAAGACGGCTGGCGCGTCGTGCAGTACCAGGAGCTTATCACAGACGATCTCTCCGAGCCGCTCGTCGAAGCCATTCCTCTCGCGTCCTACTTTACCTCGGGAACTCCGCACCAGGCTCCACCACCCGACTCCCCGTGGAAAACTCTGATCGAGTCGGCAATCGCGAAATTCGCGAAGCTGGTAACGGCGGGCGGGGCGAACGGCCGCGCGGTGAAGCCGGTGCTGCGGCCGCGCCCGCCGCAGGAGCACGTGCCGTCGTACAGGCGGTGGCGCGCGGGCGCGCCGGTGGACATGCTGTGCAACGACGCGTGGTGGGAGGGGTTTCTCCTCGCGGACGTCGTTCGCGTCGGCAAGCGCACGGAAGTACCCGTTGAATTCCCCGACGAAGCGACGTCGGAATCGGTTGCGATCGGTTTGTTGCGGTTCGGGCAGGATTGGAACGAGCGCACGGGCGAGTGGCACCCGCGGAAGGTGGAGGGGGTTGCGGCGAGGATTGCGGGTGGAAGCGGCAGTGCGGGCTGCGAGAACGGCATAGCGAGACTTAGCTTGAAGCCGCGCGGTGATGGCAGAGGGGTTGAGAACGGTGCGGTTAGCAGTGAGCGCGCGCACGAGCGGACAGCCTCGATAATACCGGAAGCAGGGGATGGTATAGATGGAGGCTCCGAAGCAGCGCCCGATGCTGCTGCAGCCCACACTCCCAAGGCGGCCTCTGGTGGCCCGGATGCCACTGCTAGGGCAGACATGGGGCGTTATAGCGGTGGAAAGAAGATCAGGCACAGGGACTTAGGGTTAGGGTTAGGGTTGGGTCACGGTGCGGGTGCAGGCACGGGCCTGGGCGTGCTGCATTCACGGGGCGCAGGGTCGCAGCACGTACGAGAGGTGAACGAAGTGTCTGATGTGAGCCAGGCGAGAGAAGGGAGAGGGTTGAGAGACGGCAGAGTGGCGGGAGAGGCGGGAGAGGCGAGTGGGGTGAATCTGCACGAGGCTGGGTCGCCCTTGGACAGGGTTGCGCCGAGGGGAAAGCGCGTGACGGAGCAGAAGAGAGTGAGCATGGGCGGAGAGGGAACGTCAGGGGGAAAGCAGGCGGTGGTTGAGGGCAGCGCGGGGAGGCGGAGGGAGGGCGCATTTGTGATCGGCAAGGGGACCAAGGCGCAGGGCAGCAGAGGCAGGGCGCGGCAGCTCCGCGTGAGAGAGGCCCCTGGGGCAGCGGACGAGGCAGCAGGGGAGGTACCCGGAGGTGGGTTTGCCCCGGACTCCGCGGAGCACGCAGGCGGCGCGGACGCTCCGCCTGCGCGCAGGGCTCCCGCGCACAAGAAGCACTCCATAGCGAAGGTGTACCCGCCTGGGAGGGACCTAGCGCGGCTGATAGACCAAGGGCTGGTGAGGGACGGCGAGGCAGTCGAGTATAGGGACATGCGGGAGCGGCGCGCACTCAAGAGCGGGCGGCTGTCGCGGCAGGGCGTGACGTGCGACTGCTGCGGACGCATGTTTAACCTCTCTGGGTTTGAGGCGCACACAGGGGTTACGTATAGGCGGCCCGCGGCGAATATGTTTCTGGAGGACGGGCGGACGCTGGCTGTGTGTAAGATGGAGGCGGAGAGGAGCGCGTACGGGGGAGGCGCAGGCGCAGGCACAGGCGCAAGCGCTGCCAGGGGTGGTGGAGGGGGTGGGGTGGCTGTGGGGAATGGCACAGTGAGAGAGGCAGGCGGAAGGGGAGTGGCGGGTGGTGGGCAGGAGGAGGGGAAGGGGGAAGGGGCGGCGAGGAAGGTGGTCAGGGTGAAGGGGCTGGGGTCCAAGGTGAAAGGGGCGGGTGGGGAGGGGGGCGGGGAGGGCGCGGAAGGGGAGGGGGGAGCGGGGGAACGGAGTGACTACAGTGATGTGCTGTGTAGGCTGTGTGGGGATGGTGGCGAGCTGCTGTGCTGCGATGCATGCCCTGCCACTCTGCACCTGCCCTGCGCTGGACTGCAGGTGTGTCCCATTCTCGTGCCTCCTGCTTGCCCCTCTCATCCCCTCGGCATACGAACCCTGTAATCTTGTCGTCCGTGTTTATGATCTCCTCCCCATCCCCCCACCTCCCCATCCCCCCACCTCCCCATCCCCCCACCTCCCCATCCCCCCACCTCCCCATCCCCCCACCTCCCCATCCCCCCACCTCCCCATCCCCCCACCTCCCCATCCCCCCACCTCCCCATCCCCCCACCTCCTCACCCCCCCACCTCCTCATCCCCCGACCTCTCCATCTTCCCACCTCCCCATCCCCCCACCTCTCCATCCCCTCACTTCCCCATCTTCCCACCTTCCCATCCCCTCACTTTCCCAACCCCTCGCCTTCCCATCTCCCCGTGGGTGGCGAGCAGGCGCTGCCAGGGGGCAACTGGTTCTGTCCGGCATGTCGCTGCTCCATCTGCGGGGGCAGCCATTATGGCACGCAAGGCTTTGGCGACGACACTGTTATCTTCTGCGACCAGTGCGAGCGCGAGTGTGAGTTTTGGAGGGGTGTAGGGTTTACACACCACCTCACCTCCTGCCCTTGCATTCATCGGCTTGGCAGTTCGGTACTCCCTGTGCTGCATTGTTGCCGCCTCAACAACATGTGTCAGTTGCACGTGTATATTCCTATTGAGCCATGGTGCTCCTTACCCATGCGTCCAACACTTCTTCCCTTTCCCTTCCCCCCCTAATCAGATCATGTGAGTTGTCTCAGGGACATGGGGTGGGCGGATCTCAAGGAGCTCCCCACCGGCCGTTTCTTCTGCCGCCCGCAGTGCCGCACTGTGAGTGTCCTCTGTCTTCTTCTGCCGCCCGTTTCTGTTACGCCTCACCCCTCAATATTCACCCCTCACCCCTCACCCCTAGCCCCTCACCCCACCCCCAAAACCCTCACCCCTTCCCCCCAAACCCCTCAATCTTCAACCCTGCCCCCTCACCCACAGGTGTTTTTTGGCCTGCAGCGCCTCATAGGCAAGCCCATCTCCCTCCCGGGCGGCTTCTCCTGGACGCTTCTGCACGCGGAGGGCCCGCGCAGCGAGGCAGGGTCAGTGACCAAGGAGGAGCGGCGGCACGACAGCCTGCTGAGAGAGCGGACGGGCGAGGCGGAGAGGAAGCTGCGGTGTGGCATGGAGGTGATGAGGGAGTGCTTCCATCCCATCAAGGATGCCTTCACCGGGGAAGACCTCGTTCCCATCATCGTGCAAAGCAAGAGGTGCGCTCCCCTCCCCCCAGTGCTCTCCCTCTGCAACTACCCCTGCGCCCTATGCATGTGTACATGACCTTTAGTCGCCCTCACTTGCACAATCCCGGCCTTTTCTCATAGAATGTTGTTTCTGATGTGGTTTCCATCCATCCTCTCCGCCCATGTGCACGCTCTCTCCCCCTGCAGCACAAAGCACCGGGACTACTCGGGGTTCTACACAGCAGTGCTGCAGCAGGGCAAGGAGTCCATCACTGCCGCCAGCATCAGGTGCGCTGCTCAATTTATTCCTGCATTATCTCTGACATTCTGTCTGAGCGAGGCAGGCTGTGTCCGTTTCGTCCCTCTCTCACCCCCCATATCCCCCTCCGCTCCCCCTCCCTTTCTCCCTGTGTGCATGCTGTCTGTGTTCACAGGGTGTACGGCTGTGAGTTAGCAGAGATGCCGCTGATAGGCACGCGTTTCCGATACCGCCGCCAGGGCATGTGCCGCCGCCTGCTGCAGCAGATAGAGCATCTGCTCGCCTCCCTCGGGGTCCGCAGGTTCCTCCTGCCAGCTGTCCCCGAGGCCGATGCCACGTGGCGCCAGGGCTTTGGCTTTGCTGACATGTCAGCGGAGGGGCGGCGGCAGCTGCTACAGCTGGACGTGCTCGTGTTCCCCGGGACGGCGGTTTTGGAGAAGGCGCTGCCGGTCCTGCCGCCCGCTGCCGCCCCTGCCGCCCTGCCGCCCCTTGTGGCTGGGCCGGCTGGGCAGTGGAAGCTGGGGTCGGGAGGGAGAGGGGCGGGAGGGGCGGGTGGACCAGCAGCAGGGGGGGCGGGGGGGGTGAGGGCGGCAGGGGCGGTGGTTGGGGGGGGACTGGGGGGCAGGAGGGGGACGGGGAGGGGCGGGGGGAAGCTGATGCTGCCTGGGCGGAAGGGCGCAGGGAGGGGGTTGGGGCGGGGAGGGAAGTTTAGCCTGAGGGGCAAGGCGCTGGGGGTGCAAGGGGGAGGGGTGAGGGCGAAAGAAGGGGTGGGGGAGGGGTTGGTGTTGGAGCATATGTGGGCGTCTAAGGGAGTGAACGGGCACAGGCGAGTGAAGAAACTCAAAGTGAAGCTCAAACTCGAAGCAGACCCACACCAGTCTCAACCGCAACCCATCTCACTGCACCCACACACGCTCCCACTCGCCCCTCCACTCCCCCCAAGCCCAGCTCTCCCATCTCCCTCTGCCCGTCACTCTGCTCTCCCTCCCACCCCTCACACCCCCCCACTCCCCGCCACTTCCCCCGGGAAACACCATAAGGGAGGGGGGAGAGTGCTCCCCCCCCTGAGAATCCACCCCTTGCCAGAGGATCTGCGGTGGCGGGGAGGAGAGGGGGAGATTCGGCTGGTGAAATACAAGAACTGGCCGGCTAGTGTGCTGCGGCAGAGGCACAAGCAGCGGCTGGCGCATTTGGAGGGGTTGGGAAAGGTGGGAGCGGGTGTGGAGCTGTTGAGTGTGGTGGTGGGGTATGTGGGGCTGCCGTGGCGCGTGCTGCAGTGGGGGGGAGAAGGGGCGGAGTGGGTGGGCGGAAGGGAGGACGAGGAGGGTCAAGAAGAAGGCACCAGTGCTGCTGCCTCTGCCGCTGCTGCTGGCACAGGTGAGTATAGCGCTGCTGCCAGTGGCAGCGGGGAGGGTGCTTCTGCCGCCGCTGCTCCTGGCAGCACGGGTGCTAGTGAGCTGGTGTGGGGGGTGGAGAAGGCATATGTGGACGCGCCACCATGGTGCAAGGACACCTGCTCCTTCCTCTCTGACCAGTACTGCTCCGACCTTGCTGCTGCTGCCCTCGCTGTCAACGCTGCTGCAGACGCCGCTGCTGTAGGCGCCACTGCAAAAGCTGCCGCTGTCGCTGCTGCTGCTGCTGCCCCGGGTCTCCCCCGTGCGTCCCGTCAGTCCAGCCACTCTCGCTCCCACCACCACCACCATCATCGCTCTAGTCACCCGCGCTCTACCCACCCTCGCGCCAGTCAGCACCATCGCACGTTGCCTTTGAGCAACCTGTACAAGCAGTTGACCTCGGCAGCAGAAGGCGGTGAGGTCAAGGCCTTGGAGCTGGTGCCTCTGCCAGCTGAGCCTCCCGCTCCTGGCTCCACTGATGTGCCTCTCCCTTCTCCCCCTGCTATGCTCACTGCTCTCCCTTCTTCCCCTGCAATGCTTACTGCTCTCCCCTCTGTTGTTGCAATGCCAGCTGCATTGCCTGCCCCTGCCCTGCCCGATGCCCTGCCTGCTGCTTTGCCTGCTGAAGCCTCGGTGGCTGTGTGTGTGGCTCCAACAATGCCTGGGGTACTTGCAACAGGGGCAGGTTGTGTGGTTGATGGGGCTGTGGGTGGGGAGCGGTATGACGCGGTTGAGGTGAAAGCAGAGGAGAAGACTGAGGGGGAGGCAGAGGGGAACGGGGTGAGGGAGGTTGAAGGGAGTGCAGAAAGGGAAGCAGCTGGGAATGGAGAGAAAGGAGTAGAGGGTGAGGATGAGGGAAAAGCAGAGATTAGAGCAGCAGACGGGGATGCAAAGGGGAGGCAGCTGCGCGGGAGGGGTGAAGGAGCATTGGCTGCGGTTAGGAGTGGTGCGAAGCGGTGGAGCGAGCAGCAGGGGCAGAGAAAGGCAGCACGGCAGTCCCCCAGGCTGGCAGAGTTGGGGGCGGAGAAACAACTCAAGGCAGGCAAAGTGATGAAAACGACCAACATGGGCAAGACAAGTCATATGTGCAAGTCTGGCAAGGCGAGCGGCATGAGTCACATGGTTCTTACCAATACGAACAACACCAGCAACGCGAACAACGCGAGCATTGCAGGCAATATGAGTAATATGGGTGATGAATGTGAGGCGGTGGTGCCGAGTAGGGAGTGGGGCAAGGAGGGGCGGCGAGGGCCCATGCTGGTGGTGATCGCTCTTGAGGCGCCTGAACGCGTGGAGGGGCCACAGGATGCTGCGTATTGGGCTCAGGTGGAGGAGGATGCGAGGCGGTGCAGTGCGGTGGACGAGGGTGAGGGAACGGGGGATGTGGGGCGAGAGAGGGGAGAGGAGGGAGAGGGAGGAGAGGGGGAAGAGGGGGGAGAATCGGGAGAGGAGAAAGAGGGAGGGCCACCTGTTGGGGCTGGTGGGAGAGGTGGGGATGGGGAGGACGAGGGAGGGATGGTGGATGCGAAAGCAGTTGCAGGAGCACGGAAAGGCAGAGCAGCAGCAGAAGCAGGTGGGGCAGGCGAGGGGGCGGAGGGTGGTGAGGCCGCAGAACCAGTGCGCACACCATCAGCAGCAGCAGCAGCAGCCGGGGCGCGAGATGAAGCAGGGAGGCGGGGGGCGGCAGGGGTGGCAGCAAGGGTCGCGGGAGGGGAGCGAGTGAGGGTGAGGGCGGAGGCGCTGCAGCGGGTGGTGCGCACGTTTGGCATCGAGGAGATGTGGCGTGCTGTGCCTGTGGAGGTGATTCTCAGAGCGCATGGGGCAGATGGGGAGGATGGGGTAGATGGAGCGGATGAGATGGGTGGGATGGGTGGGGCAGATGTGGTGGATGAGATGGGAATGATGGGTGTGGTGGATGGGGGGGATGGGTTGGATGAAGTGGGTAAGGCAGAGCAGCTGCTGTTAGAGGGGTCGCATGGGGAAGAGAGGGAGCTGAGTACGGTTCAGAGCGGTGGTGGCGCTGTGTGGAGGTCTGTGCCTGACACGCCGCCGCCTGAGCTTTTCCTGCCGCCCATCGGGCGGCGTCCTTTGGCTTTCCAGTTGCCGCCCAGTGCCTTTGAGGATTCACCCATTGCCACACCATGTGCACTGCAGCACTCTCAGATGACACCTATATCCCAGATGACACCTGCCTATCAGATCACACCTGACTATCAGATGACACCTGCCTCTCAGATGACACCTGCCTCTCAGATGACACCTGCCTCTCACGTAACACCTGCCTCTCAGATGACACCTGCCTCTCAGATGACACCTGCCTCCCAGATGACACCTGCCTCTCCGATAGTACCTACCTCTCAAAGACTTGCTTCTCAGATGACACCTGCCTCTCCGATAGTACCTACCTCTCAAAGACTTGCTTCTCAGATGACACCTGCCTCTCCGATAGTACCTACCTCTCAAAGACTTGCTTCTCAGATGACACCTGCCTCTCAGATGACACCTGTATTTCAAATCGCACCTGCCACACACATACCTCTTGTAGTCACGGAACCAACTCCTGCTGTTTCCGCTGTCTCTGTGCTTCCGCCCCAGGCAGAGGTCCCAACAACAATAGCAGTAGCAGCAGCCGAAACAGCAGCAACAGAAGAAGCAATACCTGTAGCATCACAAGTAGCAGAAAGAGCAGCAGCAGCAACAGAAGTGGAAGCATCAGTACCAGCAGTAGCAGTAACAGCAGCAGCAGCAGCAGCAGCTGTATCTGAAGCAGGTCCTGAATCACCAGCGGCAGAAGCAGTGGCATCAGTAGCATCAGTACCAACAGCGGCAGCAGTAGCACTAGTCGCAGCAGTAGCAGTGGCAGAGGTTGCAGCTGAAACAGCGGAAGCAGCAGTGTCAGGAGCAGCAGCACCAGCAGTACCAACATCACAAGCAGCAGCAGCAGCAGACATTCCAGCCGCTGCTGCGACCTCCACCACACCACCACACCCCATGACAGGCCCCCAGGTAGCAGCGAGAGGAGAGGAGCCCACAGTAGGTGGTGATTACTGTGTGGTTGGCAGAGAGGAGGGTGAGGGGAGGAGAGGGGGTGATGGGGAGGCAGGGGAAGCGGAGGGCAGCGCGAATGCAAGCCAGCTGCTTCCAGCCTGTGTGGCTCGTGATGCCTCCCCTGATGCACCTGAGAATGTGGCACCTGAGAGTGTGGCACCTGAAGCTGTGGCACCTGAAGCTGTGGCACCTGAAGCTGTGGCACCTGAAGCTGTGGCACTCGAAGGTGTGGCACTCGAAGGTGTGTCACCCGAAGGTGTGGCACCCGAAGGTGTGGCACCCGAAGGTGTGGCACCCGAAGGTGTGGCACCTGAAGGTGTGGCACCTGAGGGTGTGGCACCTGAGGGGGTGGCACCTGAAGCTGTGGCACCTGAAGCTGTGGCACCTGAAGGTGTGGCACCTGAAGCTGTGGCATCTGAGAGTGTGGCACCTGAAGGTGTGGCACCTGAAGGTGTGGCACCTGAAGGTGTGGCACCTGAAGGTGTCGCACCTGAAGGTGTGGCATCTGAGCCAGCAGCAGCACTAACACCAGATGACCCTTGCAACGGCTCACACCACAGCCCCCACCACCGCTCGCCTATGCCAGTGCAACACCTCGTGCTGCTGCCGAGCCCTTCTGCTGGTCCCCTGGTCCTCCCCTCCCCTCCGCACCCCCCTCCCTCACATCCAGCCCCAGCTAGCGCAGTCATTGCCATGCTTCCTGCGCCACTGCCCCCATCAAATTCCCCTCCGCCTCCCCACTCCCCTTCGGCACATCTTCCCCAGCCCTTATCACTTCCACCCACTGACCAATCCGTTCCCCCCCAATCGCCACTCGCTCTCTTTCCCCCATCCCCCACCGCAACCCCCTTCCCCCCGCTGCTCCCCCTCAGCTTCCCCTGGCTTCTCCTTCCCGGCACCTCCATCCCGCCCAACCTTGCTTGGCGCCAGTCCTCCCGCCCAGTGCCCCTCGTGTGGGCGGCAAGCAGCGGCAGGCAGGGGGAGGGTGAGGGGGCGGGAGTAGGGGGAAAGAGGAGGAGATGTTTGGCTGCATTGACAGACACAGGGGGAGAAGGGGGGGTGGCGGAGGGGAGGGGAAAGAGGAAGAGGCGGGGCAGGGAGAGGGGGAACGGGTGGCGGGAGAGCAGGGAGGATGGGGGCATGAGTGGTGTGGCACTTGCTGGTGCTGCTGCTGCTGGTACTGCTGCTGCTGTTGCTGGTAACGATGGTAGTGGTGCTGGTGCTGGTGCCGCTGCTGGGGCCGGTGGCAGTGGCAGGATGGTGGGGGGGATGAGCATGCGGCTGCGGCGAGTGGTGAAATCCCCCTCTTGGTTGCTGCAAGGCGTGAGGGGCGCGGGGGAGGATGGGGCAGGCGAGGGGGACGAGGGGGACGAGGCAGGGGCGAGAGGGGCGGGAGGGGAGGGGGAAGAGAGGAGGCGGAGGGGCGGGGGTGCGCACGTGGGGGGCGAGGGGTGGGTGTATGGCGTGGAGGAGGAGTGGGTTCCCACCAGTGCCGTGTGCCGCAGGCGGCGATCCGAGTCGACTCGACGGGCTCGGGCTGTGGGGGAGAGGCCCTACGGAGAGAGGGTGGGTGTGGCGAGAATCGATGGGCTCTCACTGGGACAGCAACAGCAGCAGCGGCAGCAGGAGCACGGGTCGGGTGGCATGCTCTCTTGGCCTCTCACTGACGGTACTGCTGCTACTGCTGCTGCTGCTGCTGCTGCTGCTGGTGCTGCTGGTGCTGCTGGTGCTGCTGGTGCTACCGCTGGTGCGGTGTGGCATGCTGGTGGTGTCGGCAGTGTTACTCGCACACCAACCGGTGTGCGGAAGAAACGGCGAGGCAGCAGTGCAGCTGTTATCGCCGCTGCCTCTGCTTCTGCTTCTGCTGCAGCGTCCCCTGCACCTAATGTCGCTGCTGACGGCGCCACAGGCAATGGGATCGCCAGAGCAGCAGCAGTGTCAGCAGCAGTGACAGTGTCATCGCCCCTGCCCCATGCTCACTCCCCTCGTGCCAGCCACCGCACGTGCCGGCAGGGGTGGCGGGTAGCAGGCGGCGCAGCGCGGCTGATAGCTTATCGTGGCCGGGAGGTGGGTGATGGGGAGGGTGGGTCTGAGGAGGGGCGTTTCGATGGTGCGGGGAATGCAGGGTTGTTGGTACGGGCAGGTGGAGGGGAGGGGGTGGCGGAGCGAGGGAGAGGGGTGGGGGTAGACACACCTGGTGTGCTGGCTGTTGGCGGTCCGCTGCAGTCATATGCTGGTGGGGGACGGACAGGGGTGATTGCGGATGCTGCAGTGTCAGGGGTTGAAGCAACGGCAGGTGCAGGGGCAGAGGGAGGAGCAGCAGGGAGAGTGCTGCGTGGTGGTAGGGATGTGCCCTTGCTGCAGCCAAATGTTGCTAGATCAGCAGAGATGGCAGAAGCAGGAGCAGCAGGAGCAGTGGGAGCAGGAGAAGCAACAGATGGCGTAGAAGCAGCAGCATTAGCAGCAGCGCCCCCATCAGCAATCCTACCAGCCCATACGCCTTGTGCAGCAGCATTAGCAGCAGCGCCCCCATCAGCAATCCTACCAGCCCACACGCCTTGTGCAGCAGCATTAGCAGCAGCGCCCCCATCAGCAATCCTACCAGCCCATACGCCTTGTGCAGCAGCATTAGCAGCAGCGCCCCCATCAGCAATCCTACCAGCCCACACGCCTTGTGCAGCAGCATTAGCAGCAGCGCCCCCATCAGCAATCCTACCAGCCCATACGCCTTGTGCAGCAGCATTAGCAGCAGCGCCCCCATCAGCAATCCTACCAGCCCATACGCCTTGTGCAGCAGCATTAGCAGCAGCGCCCCCATCAGCAATCCTACCAGCCCACACGCCTTGTGCAGCAGCATTAGCAGCAGCGCCCCCATCAGCAATCCTACCAGCCCACACGCCTTGTGCAGCAGCAGCACCAACGCCAACGCCTGGTGCTGCAGCACAAGGAAGAGTGGATAATGTGCTTATAAGGGGGACGGCCAAAGTGCCTATATGGGGGACGCAGTACAAGCGGCGCCGGTTGGATCGGCGGAGGGGAGAGAGGGGTTGCAGTGAGAGTGGGGGGGATGGCAGCATGGACACAGGGCCATTGGATTCTGACATGGGGAGGGTAGAGGTGCATGGTGGTTCTGGAATGGGAAACGTGGAAGGTGTGGGGGATGCGGGGGGTGTTGAGAGTGGTGCGGATGGCGCTCATTCCGTTGGCGCTGGTGGGAGTGCTGCGACAGCGAGCAGCAGCGGTGTGGATTTGATTCTGTCCGCCTCACACAGCTGGAGCAGCAGCCATGGCGTGTCAGCGGGAGCGGCGCCATCAGGCAGTGTAGGAGGGACGGATAAGGGCAGCTGCAGGCATGTCATGCTCACGCGTGGGTCACACGGGCATGTGGCACAGACGCATGGGCAGGAGGGCCGTGCGTCTCACATGCACGTGTGTCACACAGAGGCCGTGTCTCGAGAGCGGTCGCTGCTGGCATGTGTGAAGGACGAGCTCATGGTGGAGGCTGCCTCGCTGGCCGCTGGTGAGACTTTTGTTGGGGGCCAAGCTCCTTTGACCGAAGCACCAGCAGCAGCAGCGCAAGCAACAGCAGCGCAAGCAGCAGTAGTGCCATCAACAGGAGCACACGCCCTTTCAGCAGCAGCTTCTCCATTGGTGCAGAACACATGTCACGAGGCATCAGCGCGAGTTGTCTCGGATGTTAGCCAGCAGCGGCAGCAGTGGGTGGGGAAGGAGGAGCAGCAGGAGGTGGAGGAGCAAGAGCAGCCGGCGGAGGAACGACAGGAGGGCAAGGAGCAAGGGCAGGAGCAGGACCGGCAGCAGCAACAGCAGGAGGAGCAGCAGCAGCAGCAGCAGCAGCAGGCAGCCCGGTTGTCAGCACGAGCAGCCCACCGGTCCACATTCAAGCTGGAGAGGCTGAGTCTACTCTCCCTCTCTCCTGTTGTGGGCCGCGCCGGGTCTGCAGGCAGTGAGGGGCCGCTAGGGCTGGCAGAGGTGGGCGGGAGGAGACGCAGCAGCAGACTGCTGGAGGGGCAGGGGGGTGGGGAGGAGGGCGAGAAGGGCAAGGCGGGAGGGGAGGAGGGCGAGAAGGGGAAGACGGGAGGGGAGCGGGCAGAGGAAGGGGTGGTGGGAGGGAGGAATGTGGAGAGTGGTGAGGGGAAGCAGAGGCGGCGAGTGGGGGTGGTGGGGGGTGATGGTGTGGCAAGAGGGGGCGGTGCTGGTGCTGCTGGTACGGGGGAGGTGAGAGGGAAGGGGCAGAGCAGCAGCAGGGGGGGCAGCGGGGCAGAGAAGCGAGTGCTGTTCCTGAATGGCTTGGGAGCGGGGGAGAGGAGGGGGTGTGTGAGTGCTCAACGCCTTGACGCGTCAGAAGATGGAGATGTTGTGGAAGTGCAGGGGGAGGAGCGGGGGAGGGAAGGTGGGGAAGAGGAGAGCAGCAGGGGATTCAACTCAGCAGCAGTTACACCGCTCCCCCGCGCCACACTGCTGTGGTCCCCTGGCCCTCTGCTGCTGCCCCCCTCTGGCGCCCCACCCTCCCCTTGGCGCTTGGATGGAGTGGGTGAGAGGGAGGCGGAGAGGGAGGTGGAGATGGAGGGAGAGGGGAGGGATATGCAGGTGGTGAGGGTGGAAGGGAAGGAGGAGGTGATGGGGAAAGAGCGGGAGGAGGAGGGGGAGGAGGGACCGATGGGCGATGGTCCTGATGTGTGTCCAGGTTCAGCACAAGTCGGGGACAGTGTTGCAGGTGCATGCCAGCAAGGTCTGGCGGTAGAGCAGGGGAAGGTGGCAGAGCAAGGGGTTGTGGCAGAGCAGGGGACGGTGGAAGAGAAAGAAATTGTGGCAGAGCAAGAGGCAGTAGCAAGGGAGCCAGGAGCAGCACGAACAGGTGCAAAGGAGGGCGCAGGGATGCATGACTCGGCAAGTGCATTGCCCCTGCAGGCCTCTCACACCCCGCACACCCGCCCTTCCATGCCAATCTCTGCTTTGTCATGTGGTGCTGCCTCCACATCCATTCAAGAGGCCGTTCCTTCACCTCCTCTTTCAGCGATAGTGCCAGCAGCACCATCAGTACCACCACCACCACTACCACTACCGTCAGCAGCAGCGGCAGCAGCAGGACCAGCAGCAACAGCTCCAGCACCCGCAGCAGCAGCAGCAGCTGCAGGGGAGTCACACAGCACACCAGTGAACGCTTCAGAAGCACCGGCTGTCGAGCTTGTGAAGGAGCAAGCACAGCAGGCCACAAGGCCACCCATTGCCATCGACCTCCTCACTTCCTCCTCTAGGTCCTCCTGGCCCGCCCTCGCAGCCACCACCACATCAACAGCAACACCAAGAGAGGCAACCTGGTTACCACCTCCAAGCATCACCACGTTACCATCGCCTTCCACCACAGGCACCTCGCCCTTGTGTTCCCCATTGGCCCCATCACCCACACTGATGTACCAGAGGAGGCGACTGGCCGCTCCCCGTGAGCTGCCCTTGCGTGTGTTTGGTGATTTTGTTGCCAAGCAGCGGGATGCTGCTGTTTCGCCTGACATGCGGCTGACTAGAGCTGCTGCCTCGCGATTGCATTTGACCAATCAGGATGAGAATGATAGGACGTTTAGGTGATTTGGTAGGTTGTAGCTGTACTGATTATACACATCAATCACTAGCATCCACAACCAAGCTCTTCGTGTTATGATATATTTTTCTGAGCAGAACATTGTGTCAGGTGGTTGTGTTTGTGTGACAGTCAGTTGGCTGGGAAGTGGCACATCACGCCATGTTGCTGACCATGAATAGGGTGGTAGTGACAGGTCGCTGCCTAACACTTTACTCCATTCTCTTGACGCCTTAAACTCACTTTTGTGTGATCCACTAGCATATGGACAGGACACAACAGCAACATCCTTCCAGGCAACATGTACCGGTACGCACATTTAGAGAAATGGTTGTTTAATTCATGGTATTCCACATGTACAAGACAGGCAGCAGCAGCAAGCCTCCTATAGTCAAACCATCAGCAGCACTTAGTACACAACCTGGGCCTCGTTGTCAATGAAGTCAACAGACCCAGAGTCCACCGGCCGCATGAAATAGAGCGCGAGAAGCTCGCCGATAAACGACGCCAGCACCGGGAACCGCTGCACGCTCTTAAGAGCATCGGGCGCGTCGCTCTTGCCAATGTCGACGAGCTTCTGGTTGAGGTCCACAAGGGTATCGAGGCGGCGCTGGAACTCGGGGTTCTCTACGTCGAGCACGGCGGGGAAGATGCGCGCCGTGGTCTTATTCGTCTCAATGATCACGTGCATGTTGAACTGCTTCGTGTTCAGGCCCAGACCCTCGTAGAACGCCGTGCGCTGGTGGTCGTTCAGGTACATCGTCACGTACACCTGCGATAGAGCAAAGAGAAGGCATGTTAGCATTAAGCCAGTAACAACCGGAAGTAGAGAGAGGAGAAACCTCAAACGAACGACGCACAAACAATCAGTGACAACCCTAAACAGGGCGGAGGGTGGCAAATTTGGATCAGCATTGGACATACCGAGAGGCAGAAGAAGCGCGCCCAGAGCTTGGAGCTCCAGTCCTGGAGGAACTTGGGGTAGCACTTGAGCATAGCGGTGAAGAAGTCACCGTGGCGGTTCTCGTCTTGGCACCAGTTCTCGAACTTCTGGAAGATGGGGTAGCACTGGTACTCGGGGTTCTGGGCCAGGTGGCGCCAGATGGTGATGTAGCGCCAGTAGCCGATCTTCTCGGAGAGATACGTGGCGTACAGGATGTACTGGGGCTTGAAGAAGGTGTACTTGCGCGCCTTGGTGAGGAATCCCAGGTCCAGGGACAGGTTGAAGTCAGACAGAGCCTTGTTCAGGAAACTGCAGAGGGCAAGAAGAGCGTTGTTCAGTTTTGGAGGAAAGATTTCAGTTTTAGAGGCTACCGAAAATTGAGATTCGCGGGGACGAGCGGACGAAAGAGGCGTGAGGGTGGACTTACCCGGCATGTCGGGCCTCGTCACGAGACATCAGGGTAAAGATCTCAGCGATGCAAGGGTTGGTTTTCTGCACAATGAAAGCCGACCGACATTCATAAGAAAGAATGATTCAACTTCTAACATGCTGAAACAGGAAATGCTGGCTTATATTCAGGCTGGAGGTCGTGTCGAAAGCGCACGCACCTTGAGGCGACGGCCGAGCTCCTTGTAGAGGAGGAAGCCGGAGAACTCGGCTGTGCACGACCGCTCGAGGAACTCCACGAAGATCTCCCTGGAGGGGCCCTGGATCTTGTCGGCGGCAGCCTTGAACTCGGGCGTCCTGACGAAGTGAGTCTGGTTGTAGTCCGCCTTGAACTCCTCCAGGCACGCATCGAACTCCGCCTGGTTCAGGTACGGGTTGATGTCCCTATTGAACAGCTGGAGAAGGGTGGGGGGAAAGGTATAAAACAAACAAATATTAAGTCTAATGCCGGCGGCACATACGATTTCTGGTGGCCAGATTCCTGTCATGATACGCTCTTCTCGATCCTGCGCGAGTGTGGAACTAATGCGATAAGACGCAGTGTCGAAGGTCGTGGAATGTACCCGCTCCATTTCGTCGAAGTCGGTGGTGTAGAAGCGGGGGGTGAGGAGCGTCTCCTTGGACGGGTCCTTAGAGCCCTCTCTGGGCTTGTCCTTAGAGACCTCCATCGTCACCCGTCCAGCGGCCGCCTTCACGCCGAAGTTGGCCTTCGGGGTGAAGCTAGAGAAGTTCACATTCTTGCGGCTGGACACGCCTGACAGGGACGTCGTCGCGAGGGACGCGCGCGACACGGTAGCCGAAGGGCAAGTCACGGCAGCCATGGCTAAAATTGACTTTCGAACGGACTGGCTGAGTTTCGGGAAGAGACACCTCAGTTGAATATCTCACGAGGTGTATCCGAAAGATAAAGACCTGAACTTGGTGCCTGCTGCTCTTAGGGAGCTCTGTGCATGTGCTGCTCTGATGCGTCTCCGAATCAGACTCCAAGGGTCCAGGGAGTGTCGGTTCAGTCACGCCCCTTCCAAGCACGGTATGCCCCAGAAAAAGTTGGCATTTGCGACGATTCGGGAATGAACCAGATGATAGGGGCCTGATTTGGCACGACGTGATTGGTTCATCAGGTCATTGCAATCTGAACTCGGCCTATAAGTCCAGGTGGCCTCAATACAAGTGTGACGTCAACACATTCAGAATGATCACACTTGAATAACGGCATTCAGGGTACGTGCACACGACGGCTGTGCTCAATGATATAACAAAAAGAGTGACTCAAATATGCTATCATGCAAATTCTTGGAAAAAGGGTAGCTGCAGCAGACACCATGTCCCAAAATGCTACCCCCCATGAATTAAATATAGATTCCGAAACTGAAAATTCTTAGATTGAATACAGGTTCAGAAATTTTTGATTTAAATAGTCCCCACAATGAGTTTTCTTTGCATATTTGAATGCCATTATACGATACATTTAGCAATTTTATCAATATTTATGTTTTAATTCTCTATCTATGCAAGTACAGACATGTTAAATGTTCTACAGCCTTTTTCATGAAGTTTTTTTTTTTTTTTTTTTTTTTTTAGCTTAGGTGTGAGTGAGTGTTAGTGGTGCTCATATAGTATCTACGTGAATGAAGTGTAGCTTTCGTTATGAAGTAACGAAATGCTATTTACCCAAGCTGAGCAACCTTCGACCCCTAGATATTAGCATCAATGGCAGCCATGAACAGGCGGATTCATGAGTATTGACACCACCATTCTGGTCAGGAGGAACCTCTGGAAGCTTTGTTTTGGCTGTCCTTGATGACCGTCTTCTTGCCGATGGTTGCCTGACTTCGCAATTCAGGAGCCAGCGTCACCATGACTTCACTGTCGAGCTAAATTTGACTGCTAAGAAGCCTGGCGCAATGTTGGAAAGTCTCGTGTTCTCGCTGGTGGGAGGTTACCTCTCGCATTACCTCAAGAACTTCCACAAGGAGCAGCTCCGAATCGGAGTATGGCGACGTGAGTCTCACGAACTTAATGTCTTGCTTACGAAGCATTTAGACCGTGATTCACGTCCCGTTTTGCCCCATTCCAGGTCGCTGCATAGCCTGATTGCAAAAACATGACCGTATGAGCGAATTTCATGGCTCTTGTCGAATATCAGTTGTTTCACTTCGGAATATAAAAGGTTGACAGACGTAAGGTGCAATTCAGCAGCGTGTCTTCAGAATCACCTGAGTCGTCTGCCTTCAGAAGCAACTCCGTCGCCTGGCTCAGGATGATCGAGCTGTCTAACCTCAGGATGAATTCAGTCGTCCTCGTTCTGACATTGCAGCCTTCAGGATCAATCAAGTCACTGAGCTGGAATTCAGTCGTCCGACTTCACAACCAATCTCAGGATCAATTGAATTGAGACTCTGGAATATGAACCCAGCTGTCTTCCTTCAAAAGCAATCTAGTCGTCTGACTTTAAAACTATTTCACCTGTTTGGCGTCAGAGTCAATTTATTAATCTGTCTGGCTTCAGACGCTATCCTGTTGTCTGGTTTCAGAATCAAGCCGGTTGTGTGCCTTCAGACGCACTGCCTTCATGTTCAATCCAGTCGTCTGAATTCACAACTAATTCTGTCAGAAGTGTTTGACTTCTGCTGCTTGAGCAGGGGTGGTAAGACTGAACGACCTGGAGATCAACACAGCAGCATTCGACCACCTTCAGCTGCCATTTTCGATCCACCATGGTATATATCTGTCATAGCTTCCATGACTGCGTTGCACTTCACTTCGCATCAAGGACACACCATGCCACCTTATTGCTCTGGGGCATTGATGTTGACTAAAACTTCCTCAAGTTGTAAATGCTTTGAATTCGACAGTCTCTCTAATTTGTGTTTCATCGATTGGTTCATATATACCTTTTATCCACTTATTAACTGGTAATAGCTTCTCTGATAAGCTGCTGGAGTCTGCAATTTCCTTCTGTGTGGTTGCAGGGAAAATCGGTAGTCTCAGCCTGCAGTTGTCCATGAAAAGGCTGGGCCGAGAGCCATGCGTGTCTGTGACTATCAGCGACGTGCTTATAGTGATGGCACCAAGGGCTAACCATGAGGTGTGTCCCTGGGAGTACCGGCTCCTTGCTTGTGCACTTCCCCTGCAGTTCTTAAACCCTAAATCCTGGACCTTCGTGGAGCTGTTGAATCACTTTGCTTCGCCTTTCCCCTGCTTTCGTCCTTGTCGTTGATGATTTTCGGCCACTGCTCTGGTACTACTGCCTGTTATTCCCTCCTGCGTCACCTTGTGCTTCCCTGGCCGGCTGTGTGCACTGTGCAGTGGTCGGAGGGTCCGGCAGTAGTGAGAGAGAGAGCTGCCAAGAGGGCAGCGCTGGCTGCAGCGGAGGTGGTGAAGATGTCTGAGCAGGGTGAGGTGATGTAGGGGGCAGGCAAGCGGAGATGGCATGAGAAAAAGGTTAGGTTGGGGAGCATTGTGTAGGGTGAAACACCTCATCCTTCGCTGCCACATCATTGTTTGCAATCATGTGCTCTCCCGTTTCTTCTCTTCCCTGTGACTGCATCGCTGTTTTCTCCCAGGCAATGGTGTCGGGGCGTCAGCACTCTCATACTTCTCAGCCGTTGTAATGTGCCTCCCTCTTATACCGTTATTCTGCACTTCACAGCGAACTATTAATAGCATGATAATCTTTGTATTTCTTTGCTCACAGCGTGTGTGTCCTACTTAGATATCCCACATCATCTGCATCACGTGCCCGCATCACCTGCATCACCTGCTTTACCTGCATCACCTGCTTTACCTGCATCACCTGCTTTACTTGCATCACCTGCTTTACCTGCATCACCTGCTTTACCTGCATCACCTGCTTTACCTGCATCACCTGCTTTACCTGCATCACCTGCTTTACCTGCATCACCTGCTTTACCTGCATCACCTGCTTTACCTGCATCACCTGCTTTACCTGCATCACCTGCTTTACCTGCATCATGGCAGGGATTGAACGCTCTGGAGGTGTTGGTGACATCCGTGCACGTCAAGTACACACACTCCTCCTCCGACCCCAAGGTTCGTGCTCCAGTTTTGTTTGCTGTTTGCACCCTACCTGCCATGCTGCTTACACTGTCATCTGATTAGCTACCTGTCTGTTTCTTGAGCACCGCATTCTACTGCTTTGCTGGAGTCATCTCATCTGTCCTCATTCTCATGCTCTGCTCTTCCGCCTTTTCTCCTCTCCAATCACTGTCCCTCTCACCTCTGTGCCCGTCCGTGCAGGGGGCCTTTGAGTTTGGCCTTCATCTGGACCATCTCTCTGTGGCCGCTGCTGCCTCCAAGGACCCCCTTGCTGCTGCCGCTGCCGCTGCTGCAGACGCCATTGCTTCTGCGTCCGCCTCTGCTCTCAACACAGCCCCTGCTGCTGGTGGTCCTGCTGCTGCTGGTGATCCTGGATCGACTGCTTCCTTCTTTGCGCCGCCAGACAGCCAGACTCCCACAGAGAGGCTTCTGGAGCAGCAGTGGGAGCAAGAGACTGGGCAGGAGCAGGGAGGGGGGCAGGGGAAGCCGCAGATAGGGGACGCGGGCAGGAAGGGAGGGGCAGGGAGAAATTTGAGGAAGAGCATTGAGGTGCGGGGGTTGTCGTTTTACTGGAATTCCCGCAAGAGAGGGTTCGAGGGGAGTACTGCCGGACCTACGGAGCAGGGAGGTGGGGAGGGGAGGACAGGGAAGGAAGGGGCAGAGGGTGGAGAGAGATGGAGGCAGGGAGGAGCAGTGAGGGGTGGTTCAAGAGAGAGGGGAGGGGAGGAGAGCATGGATGCGGACATAGTGTGGGGCGAGGGTGAGTTAGTGCCCAGTGATGATGAGGAGGGTGGAGGGATGGGTGCCAAGAGGCAGAGGCGGAAAGAGGCGGGTGACCGGGTAGGAACGGGGAGGGGGCAACACAGTGGTGGCCGGAGGGGGGAGGAAGGGACGGAGGCAGTGGCGAACAACATGTTGCATCCCTTGGATGCTTCTATCAGACTTGTGGTAAGGCATGCATGCGTTGATGACACGGCTTCATTTGCCAACGATATCGCTGCACACGACATGACAATCATGGCGCATGAGTGCATGTGGTGGCGTTCAAATGATTGGTCTCACTGTTGGTATTCTAACCTGTCATTTATGTGTTGTTGCAGCAACCCCTTCTCACTTTCCTCCTCCTCACCACCTCGCCCAGTCTCCATCACCATCTTGTGTTGTCGTCCTCCTACCCCTGTTCTGTTCCATTCCTTTTCCCCCTTCCAGATGCATATAGGCCCTCCTGTGCACACAAGCACTGCTCCCGTCTCCGTCTCTCTCCGTTGCAACCGCCTGGTATGTTGAAATCACCTTATCTGATGTCCAGCCACTTAACATGCGTCAGTTAAATTCGTCTCGTTCCAGATATTTTGGATAGCTTAATGCCTGCTGCTAAGTCTCGATACATTGCGTGCCTTATCTCCCATGCCCCTTTACACTTTCCACCTCCCCCTTCTGTTTCCCTATCTGTGCCAGCGAGTGTCACTCGAGGAGCACCAGTACCAGGACGTGCTGCTGCTGGCTGATGCTTTCAACGTGCTGCGCCTCAGAGAAAGGTGCCCCTTTCACATCCCTGTGTCACCACATAAACACACACGCGTGCGCGCGTGCACACATTCACGCTGTTCACACATCTCTCTGTGTGCTGCATGTCCTTGCACTCTCTTTTGTCTGCTGCCACTTCACCTTTCTCGTGTGCAAAACTGTCTCCCTCTGCAGGTATGGCCGCTTTCGCCCCGCGGCCTTGTTCTCTTCCACCCAGAACACACCAACCAATGGCACCACCAACCCAGCCGACAATACAGCTGCTGTCAGCGACGGGCAGCAAGGCGGCAGCAGCAGAGTGGCTGGGGAGAGAGTGCACGCATTGTGGTCATACGCGCTCAATGCCGTGCTCTTTGATGTGCGCCAACGCCTCTACCGCCGCTCCTTCCTCTACCTTCCTTCCCGCCTGTACGTCCCTTCCTCTCCAACCGTTTATGCCTCTGCACGCTTCCTGCAACATCCTCCCTGCACCACCCTCCGTCCATACACCAGATGCCTGCTCGCCCCATTGAATTCCTTGGTAAACCACTCATCTGCTTCCGGGTACTTTCTGCTCTCGTGCTCTCTCCCATTTCGCGTGCGTTCTCTTGACACACTCCTCTCTCCCTTCCTTGCTCCAACCCCACCATTGTTTCCATGACACCAGGGCGAAGCGACGGCAGTACACGGCCTTGTACAAAAGGAAGCTGGAATTGCTGCAAGACCTCCCTGTGAGCGTGCTCATCCTTGTGGAAGCCTATTGCACTTGGTTTGTGCCAGCTGCGTTTCAGCCTACCTTTTCTGTTTTGCTATATAAAAAGCATCAAAGCATGAGCACGGAACGAACCCCGCCGCTGTTTCTGAGTGCAGGTGGAGGAGAGGCAGCAGCTGGAGGAGATGGAGGACGAGCTGGAGCTAGAAGACATTCTCCTATTCCGGACAGCTGCCGCGCAGGTGTGCCTTCGACATGTGTGTGTGTGTGTGTGTGTGTGTGTGTGTGTGTGTGTGTGTGTGTGTCATGTCTGTGTTTTATGCTGCTGCACGCATGCCTTGCTGATGTTCACCTTTTCTGCCTCTTCGTTCCTTGCTGACTCCTCAACAGACATTGTTCCCACCCACTTTCCCCTCCGTTGTCTTCTCATTCCGCACTGCTTTCTGCAGCGCGCTGCCCGCACAGAATGGGCCAACCCCTCCACTTCAAAAGACTCTACCGAAGATGCCTCTGTGGAGAAAGACGGGCGAGGGGACAGGCGCAAGGGCAAAGCAGCCCAGCAGAAGCAGCAGCAGCAGCGGAGGGGGAGGGGGTGGTTGAACTGGCTGTCCCAGGGCATGCTGGGCGCTGGTGGCTCTGATGCGTCTGCAGCAGCTGACGTCATGGCTGCTGTCAGTGACCGTGACTTAGAGGAGCTCTATCGCACGCTGGACTCGCCCTTTGATGCTGCTGACGGGGATAACGGGCTGGATGAGCCGTCCTGGATGTCCACGTCAGCATCCACGTCATCATCGGCATCTATGGCCATGGATGCCACGTCAGCAGCAGCACCCAGAGCCATGAACAGGAGCCGTTCTTCTGTGCACACCCTTTCATTCTCCGAGTCCTCTTCTTCGCTCGACGCCTGCATTCCCGAGGACTCCAGTGTAACAGGGCCCTCCAGCCGAGTGCTCCCTCACGCGTCTCATAGGACGACTCATGGCAGGGCAGCAGTGTCCGTGTGCCACCTGGCGTTAACTGCACAGGTGGCAGACGGTCATGCCTCCCTGCGTAGCTCGTGAGTGCACACCTCCACACTTGCTTCCTCACTCACTTGACTCTTCACTTCCCTGCCTGCTTAAAATGGTCTCACCAGCACAACACTACCCGCCTGTTCCTGGTCCTTTCCACCCTCCCTCCCAGATACTCACGGCGGGACATTCTGAGCCTTAAGCTGGGAGGGCTACTGCTCAACTCGCGAGTGTGGACCAGCTCCTCCTCTCTCTCCCTCACTCTCTCCTCCCTCGAAGCCTTCGACCTCTGGAGCACCTCAGGAGCTGCAAAGGGCACACTTGACGCCTCTGCTTCGTTTGCTGGACCAGGCTCGCAGGGCATGCGAGCGGGAGTAGGCATGGGAGGAGGCATAAGCAGTGAAAGGAGTCGAATCTCTCCATCCTCCTCTCAGGAGGATGAGGCCGTCAGGATTCTCTTTCCACAGGTAAGCTTCTCTGTGCCTGTGCCCCCATGCACCTTTTGCAACTAAACTGCAGTGCCCAGAGTTTATGCGCGTGTTTTACTCCTGACCTGTCCCTCTCCCTCTCACTGTCACCCGCCCTCTCCCTCCCGGCAGCTCCCGCACGCCTCGCTGCACGATTTCCTCCCTCCATCCCACCCGTCACACCCCTCCTTCCACTCCGCAGCCTCCTCCTTCGCCTCCCCCTCCACCGTCTCCTCTCCCTCCCCTGCCGGCCACGGCCATCTGCTTCTGCGTTCTTCCAGTGCTGCCTGGGGCCTGGGCCGCCCAGCCCTGGGGGCGGGCCTGGGAGGACCTGTGGGGGGCGGGGGGAAGGGGCAGATGTTACCACGTACAGACTCACGCGTTGGGCTGGGGATGGGGGTGGGGGCGGATGGGAGAATGGGTATGCTGCTGGGAGCAGGAGCTGGGATTGGGTATCCAAGCTCGCATGCCCATCCCCATGCCCATGGCCCTCTGGCAGGGCATGGCTACAGTGCCGCACATGTGGGCATGGGCATGGGGGTTGGGAATGGAGGGTGGGTGAACATGCGACGGAATCAGTCAGCTCTGGGTATCGGTGCCATTGCTGCAGCAGAGCATGCGGTTGCTATGGGTGGTGGGGGCGAGAGAGGGATTGGAGGGGGTGATGTTGGGGGGAGGGGGTATGGGGGTGAGAGTGAGATGCATGGGTGGAGGCCAGGGAGACAGATGCAAGCTGTGGTGGCAAGACCGATGCTGCGTGTGGAAATCGAAGTGCACTTGCCCCATTCTCATGGCCATGGGCATGAGCATGGGCATGAGGATGGTGGAGTGGGAGGGAATGAGGTGGAAGGCAATGCGCCCAACGAGATGGAGACGACAATCTCGGTGAGCCCTTTGCCTCCCATCGTCACTGACCTGCTCCCAACCCTGCTGCACCACCACCACCTGTCGCTACCCCCTCCTGTCACCCACCTGCCCTCTGCTTTCTGCCTGCACTGCACCTGTGGCTGATTCTCTTCTGTGACGGCAGGTGGCAGTGGAGCCAGTGCAGGCGGTGGTGGGTGAAGAAAGAAGTTTTTGAGACGTCTTAAAAAGCCCCCCTGCTCATCTGTTTGCATGACGGCAGGTGGCAGTGGAGCCAGTGCAGGCGGTGGTGGGTGTGGAGGTGCTGAAGCGCGTGGGCATGTTCTTCAGCCATCCCACGACCGTGCCCACCCACCAAGAACAGGTGAGTAATGAGTCAGCTTTGGCCACATCCCTTGTAACGAATGGACAATTATGGTGTGTATCGTTTTCCATCACAAGATCCTGTTTCCGCCACCCATGCCGTGTCACCCTATGTCCCGCCATGGCATCAGGTGATTGCGTCCATCAACTCGTTGGACTCAACTACTGCTCGAGCCACAGCCAAGTCTGGGTGAGCTGCCCTCATTCAACTCAACCATTCCCTTCCATCTTGAGAAAGCTTGGAGCTCTGCACTACAGCAATCCATTCATTCCTCTGCTCTTCCTGCCCTTCATCCCTACTGGTTTTCTCTGCCCCTCTTTTTCCGTCACTTCTCCCGCCAGCCTAGTGCTAGCCACACGCAAGGTGCTGCATCTGCATGTGGACGTGGCAAGCATCACGATCGTTGTTCCGCACGCTGACACATACCTCTCTGCCCGCCCCTGCCCCCTGCTGGTAAGCTTGATTGCTGTAATGCCAAGGCCAGAGAGCGACCTTTGGTGAATGCTCTCTGAAATCGGCAGAAGCTACTCCGAGTTACTATGCCATGTGCCTGCACTGGTTCCCTTCGAAAACCTTATGTTCACACCCTTGCCCTTTACTCTCTTCTTCAACCCCTCATATATCCTCATCCCCTTCCCCTGCCCTTCTCGCACCCCCCCTCCCCTGGAGGAGTGCAGGTGCTACAGCTGGCGTCACTGCACATCTCGTCCATCCCTGAACCCCCTGAGCGGTCTCTCCTTGCCCAAGCCCTCGCCTCCTCAGGCAACCTGCGATCAGCACTCTCCGTCCTGGGCGAGAAGGGCCTGATGGGCGGGAGTGACGTTGGTATGAGAGGAGGAACGGCAGAGGATCAGGGGCCGGCAGCAGGAGTTGAAGTGGAGAGCGGAGGGAGAGAGGAGAGGGAAGGAGAGAGGATGGGGGGAGTGGACGTTGGAGGTATGGAAGGAGGCACAGGCAGCGGTACGGACGCTGGGCATGCGGATGGACAGATGGGAGGGGAAAGGACGGGAGGCGTTGGGAAGAGAGGCATGGCAGAGTGGGTTCAGAAGATGGTGTTATTTGACAGTGTCGCAGTTAGAGCCGCTGCTGTCAAGGTCCGTCGCTCCTCCCTTCTCTTCTGCTCTCTTCCCTTCCCTTAGTGTCCTGTACTGTACTGCGTGCCTGCCGTTCCGCCCTTCTCCAAGTCCCTCTCGCACTCCCTTTGCTGCCCCCTGCCCGCCCCTTCCTCGCAGGTATTTCTGGTTCCACCGCCCCCTCGCACTGCACTACCCACGCCACCAGCCCCACCAGTCTCCCACCCATTCTGGCCTGGCCTCCCCCCAGGTGCACTGGGGGCAGCAGGGAATATGTGGATGGGCGGTGGTGGTGGTAGCAGCATGGCAGGATCGGGCAGTGCAGGGGAGGCTGGGATTGAGAGTGGCAGAGAGCTGCCACTGGTGGAGGAGTTTTCCGTCCACCTGCACCTGCTGCTCTGCGCTCTCTCAGGCGACCCTGCCACCACCAAGGCTGTTGTGAGTACTCTGCGTAGCTTTCCACGTCACTCAAGCTCACCACCTTCCCACCTCACTCCCCCTCTGCAGCACAGCCGTTCCCCTGCCACATCCCATTCCCCCCATCTCCGTTCATTGCTTCCATCTTACTTCCTGTTTTCACCTTCGCCTTCCTTGTTCTCTGCAGGTGCAAGGCAGCATTCCTCACATCTCCATCATCCTCTCCCTCACCAACCTCCGCCTCCTCCTCTCCATCCTCTCCTCCCTCACTCCCCCTCCGTCCTCCCCACCCCCCAAGCCTGCACACCAGCCATCCTCTTCCGCTATCCTCTTCCCTCCCACCACCTCGTCTTCCCAAACCCCTCCCCACGCTGCCCCCTCCAGCAGCAACAACCCTCTGCTTGCCTCAGGGCCCATAGCTGTCCCACATCGCATGGGGCAGCTGCAAGGAGGAACGGGGGGTCAAGGTGCAAGGAGGGGGACTGCAGGTGAGGCAGGAAGCGGGGGCGGTGTAAGGAGTGGCAGCGGGGGGATGACTTCTACTCCCTCTTGGTCCGAAATGCTTCACACCATTCTGCAGCGTGACGCTGCCAAGGTGCCACATCAGCTTCTGGCATCGCCCGATCTAGAAAACACCGGGCTTTCTTTGCTGCTACAGCAGCAGCAGCAGCAGCAGCAGCAGCAGCAGCAGCAGGAGCAGGGGGACGCTGGAGGGGACGAAAGTGGGACTGTGAATGAGGGTGGTGGCAGCAGCGGCGATGGGAAAGCAGGAGGAGGAATAGGGGGTTTGATTCGGGTGCAGTCACGGAGGGTGGCAGTGGCGAGTGGCATGGATGTATTAACAGGCACGCCCTTTTCCGATGCAGGAGTGTCAGTGGGCAAAATTACAGTGCGACTGGACTTGAGTAGCTCTTTGACAGAGTTGCATGGTTCCAGCAGCAGCAAGCGCAGCAGGGCTGGGCAAAGCAGGGGGTCTGCAGGTGGGGGGGAATCAGGAGCCCACGTGATCACTCTTGAGGCTACTGGCTTGGATGTCCGGTGAGTGAGCCCCCTCGTCGTACCTTGCATCCTGCCTCGTGCGTTGCACCTAGGCTCTTCCTTCTCAGTTGTTGTCTCCTACTGTGCCAATTGTCCGGTTGTGTGTGTGCGTGCGTGCGTGCGTGCGTTTGTGCCTGTATGTATGTATGTGTGGGTGTGTGTGTGTGTGTGTGTGTGTGTGTGTGTGTGTGTGTGTGTGTGTCATGTCCATCTGTGCGTTGCATGGAGCCCCGCCACAGCCTGGTTCAGAGGCTACTCGAGGAGCGCGTCTATGCCACTCTGCACCGCATCCAACTCACCGATTCCTCGCGACCGCTCTCCTGCCCCACCCACCACATCATCCAAACGCACCTCCCCCCCTCGGCCAACCCAACCCTGAGTTTCCCTACCCTAGCTACATCACACCCTCCCACACCCGCCTCCATGCCCCATTCCATCCTCTCCTCCCCCTCTCTCTCCTTCCAGCTGGCGCCATCACCACGAATCTGGCTCTCCCCACAAATGCTCTCAGGTTTCTACACCCAAACAGACCCCTCGGCTCCCCACATGCTTGTCTCCCGTGTCCTTTCCGCCCCCTCTCTCCCTGCGTGCCTCTCCTTCTCTTCGCTGCCCATGCCTGCCATACCAACTACTGGCCAGACAGGGGCTCCCCTGGGAGCAGCACTGAGTGGTGGAGCACTGGGTGGTGGCCAATCCTCAGCAGAAAATCCTGCCAGCACTGCTCACTGGCTGGGAGGAGAGAATGTAGGCTTGGCAGGCGTATCTGCCCCAGCCACTTCGGGAGCAGTGGCAGTAGACGGGGCAAGGGCAGGGGAGTGTGTGTTGCGTGTGGAGTTGTGCCTGAAATCAAGGTCACTGACTGCACCAACTCGTGACTCTACGTCCCTCTCCTTCCACCTCTCCTCCCTCCACCTCACTGCCTTCCAACCCACGCTCCTCGCCCTACTAGCCTTCTCCTCCTCCCTCTCCACCCCCACTCCCCCCTCTCCCTTCTCTGCCCTGCCAGGCAGTGGAGGAAGCAAGAGACACCACTCCCACAACAGGGAGGGGGGGAGTGGGCTCATGGGAACACACCCCTCTGCAGACCTCTCACTCTTTGAGAGCCCCTCTAGCTCCTTCTCCTCCGCTGCCTCCTCGCCCTTCAACTCTCCCCCACCCACTACTGACGCCCTGCTGTCGCCAGCAGTACTGGCCACTGGCGCACTGGGCATGAGTCCGCAGAGGTCCAGGGGGCGGGTTGGAGTGGGACGGCAGGGGATGGAGAGACAGAGTGCACGGGTTGTGTTTGAGAAGGTGTCTGGAGATGATGTCACTGACGCTGCTGCTGGTTCTGGGGGTGTTGCCTCAAACGATGGTGGCACTGCCACTCAAACAAGTTCCTCTCTGCGTCCTGCTCCCACCCGCGGCCCATCCACTCACATCGTTCTGCCTGCTCCTGACAACTCAGGTGCAGGCGGCTCAGAACTGACTTTGGACGGCAGAGTAACTGGACTGGTGGTGCGGCTGATGGAGGAGTGGGACGAGGCAGCACTAGAAGGACTGAAAGGAGGAGCAGAGGAGATTCATGGGATGGCAGGAAGGAAGGATGGGGAGGGGAAGGGGCATGTGGTGGAGGTGGCAACTGCTTCGCTGAGTGAGGCATTGGTGCAGGCAGATGTGAAGCATCTGATGGGCCAATCCCTGCCTGCCACGTGGGCATCCTGTGGGCGCATCAGTGGGTTTGAGGTATGGGGCCCCGTGGGTGATGGGGGGTGCTATGTTCCCTATCACCCTGCAAATCCTGCCTCTACTACCCCACCAAGCACTTCACAACTGCAGCAAGGGCTGCAGCAACAGCAGCAGCAGCAGCAGCAGCAGCAGCAGCAGCAACAGCAGCAGCGGCAGGTGATAGTGGGTAGTGTGTGGGCACCAGGAGCACAGCCCGGCACCATAACCTTTGCAGCCCATGGCGCTCACACAGGGCTATATGGGGAAGGTGTGCCTGGGGCAGGCGCCACTCTGCATGTGGATGTGGCCGTCTCCCGGCTGCTGCTCGTGGTCTCACAGCCATTCACACACGGGCTTGTGAGCCATGTCACGCGCTACCTCCCTGCCCCCTCCATGACTGCTACTGCAACGCACACTGTTGCTGGGGGAAGTGGGGAGCCTGCATCAGCGTCGCCCCTTGCACGGCAGGGTCGAGAGAGGGGGCAGCAGGAGCAGCAGTCACAGCACGCAAGTTTCACGACTGCCACTAGCCCCTCACCCTCTCCCCACATCACACTCCCTGCACGCACGCCTCTCTTTATGTCCGTCTCTTCCGATTCCCCGTCTCCATCCAACCACCACACAGGAAAGGCCAGAGCAGCTCGCACTGCCATTGCTTCCCCTGCCACCACCCGTCTCTCCCCATCACCTTTAAGAGGGGGAATTGCTGTTCGGGGGGGTGGGGGTGTGAAGCAGCTGAGAGGTGGAGGGTCAGGGGGATGGGCTGGTGGGGAGGGGCGGACCAGCGGGAGCAGCCAAACCAGCCCGCTGGGGGTGAAAGGCAAGGGGAAGAGGGAGAGGGGGGAGGGGGGGAGTGTGGGGGGGCTGGGAAGTGTTGGGGGGGCGGGGAGTGGGTCGGGAGAGGGCGACAGCTGGTCAGGGGCACAGTTTTTCAGCCCTGTGGGGGATAGTCCCCTGAGGTGGGAAGTGGTGGAGGAGGGGGTTGCGGCAGAGGGTGTAGGGGAGGAGTGGGAGCAAGGGCAAGGGAGAATGAGAGTGGAGGGGGCTGTGAGGGTAGAAGGATGTGAGATTGCTGTCATTCCCTTAGGCCAGACTCAGAGCTTGCTGCAGCCATCAGCAGCCAATCAGCTGCAGCCACGTGGATCCAATGGGATCGTACCAGCAACGACATCAGGAGAGTGGCGAGGCCATCCGTGCCTGATCATTGAGCTGCCTCTCATCACTGCCAACCTCCCACGCCACGTGGCATGCTGGGATTGGTCCTCATCTGGCACAATCACATGGCTGGATGGAAGAGAGCATGAAGTCAGTAACATGGGCGGGAGACGAGGCAACGAGGAGGGCGAGACAGGAAGAGGGAGCACAGTTGTGGGAGAAGGGAACAGTGGGAACAGTGACGATGCGGAATGGGAGGCGGTGGAGGTGAGGGTGGAGGGATTCAGAGTGAGTATGGTCACAGGCAAGCTGCTGCCGCTCCGTGAGGTGGTACCTGGTGGGGGCGCATGTGGTGCAGGGGGGGAGAACGAGGAGGTGGGGTGGGTGGGGGAGAGAGTGCCTGTGGTGCAGCGAGTGGATGTGCTGCTACACGTGGCACTGCCACAGGCTGCTGGGGGCAGCAGCCAGCCCGGTTCTGCACTGCAGGGCGCGGCACAAGGAGTGGGCGTGGGATCTGAGGCAGCATCAGGGATGGTGGAGTCAGGAGGGGAGGCAGCAGCGATGGGCAGCCCGCATGAGTGGATGCGAGTTATGGTTCAAGTGCCCACGGTCCAACTGCTCCTCATGGGTGTGTGTGCAGCGTGTGCCATAGCTTACTATTCCGTTGTTGTGTGGAAATCACCAGTTCTGAATGCTAGATAGAAAATCCAACGACAAAACAGATCAATATGCTGGCTCTAATCTGCTGCATTGGCTCTAATTTTCTCTGTCCATTCTCCGTGTGTCATTCACATTCTCTCTCCTATTCCTATTCCCTTCCAACCAGATAATTCCCGTGTAAGGGAGGCGGACCTTCTCTCAGGCTCCATCGCTGCCCTGCTCGCCCTCATCCCGCCCCAGCCCCCCCCCCAGCAGCCCTCCCCTCCCATCGCCCTGAGATTCCACCTGCACCACCTGCACCTGCACATCACACGAGGCACAACCTCCCTCCCATCATCCCCTTCCTCCTCCACTCATGGCACAACCCCCTCGTTCCTTCTTCCCCCTGGCCCTCTCATCGCCCTCCTCTCCATCGATCATTTGCGCTGCGCTGCAGCGCTGCAACCATCTGGCCAATCCGTGAAGGCCACGTGGCAGAGTATTGCCCTTTGGGGCTTACAGGCAGGGATGGCAAGCGCTTTCCAACAGCGTGGTAGTGCTGCTGCAGCCTCAGCCAGTGGCCAGGCAAGGCCGCCACCTGCCTTTTCACAGGAAGGAATGGCAGCAGATGCACAAGCAGCAGCGGAAGCAGCAATTGGAGGACCATCACCAGAAGGGGCGAGGGCAGGAGGATTTTCTGCAGGAGAGATTTCAGCGGCAGTGCTGGAGTTTCTGCAAGTGGCTGTGCCTCTCTTTGTGATCGAGCGTGAGAGGGGCTGTTCTGTGACTCGTGACGCTGCTCATACCCACCTGTCTCCGTACCTCGCCATCTCCCTCTCCTCCACCTCAACCCCACCCTCACCCCATTCCCTTTCCACCACCACTGCTGCACCCCTCTCCCTCGCTTGTACTCCATCCCCCTTACAGTCCCCACATCCCCTTTCTCAACCACTGGCAAGCCTCTCGCTGCTATCCCAAGAACCGCCTTCCACCCCAGTGAACATAGCAGTCCCAGCAGCAGCAGCACCAGCACAACCACGTGGTGACCCCCATAACAACACCCAGGCTATACATGCAACTGTTCAGCTCCCTTCCCCCACCCTCTGGGTCTTCCTCCCTGCCTGGTCTCTCCTCACTTCCCTGCTTGCTGCTAAGGCACCTAAAGGAGGCGACACAGGAGGTGCAGAGGCGGCAGGGGGTCAGCGTGCAAGAGGCAGCAATGGATCAGGCATAAGGGAGGGGCAGGGGATTGGAAGGAGAGGGGCTGAGGGGCTGACGGGGATGATGGGCGTGAAGCTGGGTGAGGCTGGTGGTAGTGTAGGGCATGCTGATATGGAGGGGTTGCTGTGCGCGTCTCTCGAGGAAGGGGCGAGTGGGGGAGCAGAAGGGGAAGGGATTGGCGTATTGGTTGGTGAAATCGGCGCAAGCAGTGATGGTGGTAATGCAGCAGCAGTAGCTGTGGCAGCAGAAGCAGCAGTGCGTGTGCATTTGAAGGTGCATGCAGGTGTGAAGGTGGATGAAATCACCCTCGTGCTTCCCAGTCAACGCACCTCCCAGCCTGCCTTGCAGCACACATCCCCTCCATCTGCTCCTCACACCCGCACGCAACAGGCAGCACAGCATCAGAGGGGCGCAGGCACCACAGCCCATCATTTCAGCCCAGGTATATTCCCAGGGGAGTGTGGCAGCAACACGGAGCGGTGCAGTGCGGTGGTGGTGCGTGTGAGGACTGTGCACTCCCTGGTGCAAGCCTCTGTACCTGCCAGTACTAGTCTCAGCAGAGCCGAGCTCTCTGCTGGCCTGCATTCTGTGGAACTTACCTGTGTGCGCCGTCTTGGCTTGGGGCATTCTGGGGTGGGCCATGGGGACGGCAGTGGTGATGGCAGTGCTGCTGGTGCTGCAGACCTGTTCACGCCTGACCTGCTTAACCTCCCTCCTGCCTCCCTCAATGCTGCTTCCTTATCTCCAAGCTCCAACCCTTTCTCCTTCCGCCTTAGCTGCTTCCTGCCTCCTCCTACAGATGCTCCTCCACCTGCCCCTGCCCCTGCATCTGCCCCAACCGCATCCAACCCACCATCTGTTCGTCTGCCGCCGCCTCCTCCCACCTCAATGCGCCTGCTGCAGCTGGCAGGGCTGCAGGTGCGACTGACAGCAGCTGCTGCTCCCCCGGGGAGTGTAACAGCGATGAGTGCAGATGGGCTTGATGCTGGTGCTGGGAGAGTGGAGGAGGAGGGGGACGGCGGGTCGGGCAGAGTGAGAGAAGAGGGAGGTTCAACATTAGGGAGATATGCAGAGGAGATACGTGAAAACAACAGCATGGTTTCTGGTGGTGGTGTTGGTGGTTGCAGCAGTGCACTTGGCATGATTTGCCTGAAGAATCTAGTGGAACTGGAGAGAAGGGAGCAGGAGAACGTAGGTGAAAATAGAGAGGGTGGTTTTGGCGTTGAAGGGCATGGTGTTGAGAGGCACACACCAGCCCCACCACCACCACAAACAGCACCATCAGCTGCAGCTACCACTGGTAACTTGGGCACGTCTCCCTTCACCCCACATGCCACGCTGGCTTTCGCTACTCATGTGGCACTGGGCCGAGTGCATGCACGCTGCTCGCCTGAGATTCTGCACTTCCTCACGAGCTTTCAGGTGCCAGGGCAGGCATCATCTGTGCAGGCTGTATCTGGGCAGGCAACATCTCGCCAAGGGATCATTGAAGGCAGCAATGGCAAAGGCACAACACAGAAGAGGCGGCAACAAGAAAGTGCAGCACTTCAGAGCAGCAGCAAGGAGGGACACAGCAGTAGCAGCGGCAGCGCTGCGTGCGATGCGTTGGTGGTTGTGGGCGTGGAGAGCTTAGTGGCAGTGGTGGCGGAGAGTGAGGAGGACAGCGAGCCCCTCTTTCACCTCTCCCTCAGCACCACAGCAGGCCACGCCCTTGCATGCCTGCCCAGTGGCCACCTGCACGCCTCCCTTGCTACCACTCTCGCTCTGCACTATCTCAACCAGGACAAGGTGGGTGGTCACTGTGAAACAGAGCTCGCAGCAGCGCGAGATAAAACAGCCGCAGTAGTAAGTCTTATTTGCCGCCAGACTCCACTACCACCTTGAAGCTGAACACACACTGCTTTTCATTCAGCCTCATATCCTCCATCCACCTGCACTATTTCCTTCATGTGCTTGCCATCTCCTTGCTCCTTCCTCCTCTTCCCTCCTTACCCCCCTCTCAGGCTGCCTTAGAGCCTCTTTGTGAGCCGTGGCCCTTCCAGCTTTCGGCCTCTCTGCACTCCCTCTCCTCCCTCACCAACCCTCAATCTGCCTCCGCCTCCACTCTCCCTCCACCCCTCCTCTCCACTTCCTCCTCCTCTCCCTCTGCCTCCTCCACCGCTCTCACCTCCTTGGCTCTCACCTCCTCCCATCCTCTCAATCTCAATTTCACGCCATCACTCCTCGAGGTAAAAATTGTCTCCTCTGCCCTTTGATGCCCTCCTTTCCTCTATGATGCCCGCCTGTGCTCTCCTCTGCCTTGGATGCATCCCTTTCCTCTGCCCTGACGTATCCATCACCTACCCTGGGCAAGTTTTTCTGATTTATGTTCCATGCTTTCAACACACCACGCTCTCTCGTCCACCCTCCCTTACGACTGCAGGGAGCATGCATTGCAGCTTCACTCTTCTCCAACCCTCAGGTGCTTATGCTCGATCCTGCACCTGTGCAAAAGCGTGGCGCAAGATAAAGCATTGTGGCACCTGCTTATGTACCACCCACGTCCACCACCTTCGGTGCCACACGTATTGTTGAGAGTCAGCTTTCCCACTCTTGCTGTCGTCATGCGAGCTTTCACTGTGAAGCTCGCATCGCTGCTGCTTGCTCCGTCCCTTGGCTCCCCTTTTTAAGTTGCCTTGTGTCTCCTTGCTTGCGCTTGCGCTTCTCCTCTTCATCGTGCCTCGTCCCGTCCTTCCTTCTCATCTTCTCAGGCGCGCCACGTGACATCACAGTATTGGGTGGAAAACTATACCGGCGTGACGCTGCACCTCTGGTTCAGCGAGGACTTTTCAGACCCCAAGTATTCAGCACCACCATCAACACCAACTTCTGCATCAGCATCAGCACTCACCGTTCCTCCCACCAACCCACCGCACATCACAGTGCCTGTTGGCGCCTGCCTGCCTCTCTCCCTCTCCTCTCGCCTCCCTTGTCCTCGCACCCGCTCCTCCTCCCTCGGGGCAACTGCACCACACTCCACCGCACACCACGCCTCTCATTCCTCAAGAATCCCCCAGGCACAGGCAGGCAGCCATGGGAGGGCCAGCAGCAGAGGAAGGGCAACGAGCCTCACAGGCAGCACCACAGCAGCAGGAATGGCAGGCCGGCAATTGTGGGTGCGAGTGGGAGTGGACGGCAGTGACTCAGTCTGCCGCCCGCTGCTGCTGGAGGGCGGCACGCGGCTGGCCTTCCCTGTCTCATACATAGCAGGGGGGAGCAGATGTGAATGGGAAAGGGGAGCTGAGGGCATGGCTTTGCAAGGGCTCAGAATGGGGTGGGGAGAGGATGGGGCGACAGGGGTGGGGCTGCAAGGGGTAGCGGCAGTGGAAGGGGGGGCAGCGCGGGTGCACGGGACAGTGATGCTGGAGGTGGTTCGAGAGGGGCGCAGGCACCGCCTTGTGTTGCGCTCCCTGGTCTCAATCGTCAACGCCTCGCACACGCCCCTGCTACTCCAAGCTCATCACTCCCACCGCCCCGACCTGCCTGTGGAAGACGTGGGGGTGTGTGGCGCCAAGAGCACTCTGCACCTTCCGCTGCACCTCACCGCGTCCACCTCTCTCCGCTGGCGACCGGTGCAGGGGCCGTGGGCGTGGAGCGAGGAGACTAGGCTCGATGATGCTCTGATGGCCCCCGCTGCTGCTACTGTCACTTGCACTGGCAGCAGTGGGTTGGATAGTACTGGCAGCAACAGCAGCATGAGTGCTATCACCAGCACCAGTAGCAGCAGTGGCACCAGTGGTGTGGCACCGTTGCTGACCCGCTCTGCTTCGTCCTCTTCCATCTCTACTCCTGGAATTGCTGCCTCTCTTGACCTGCTTCCACCCTCCCTCTTCTGCCTCTCCCTCACCGCCTCCCAATCGCCTCTGCCTCTCAGGTGCTGTTCTTCACCTCTGCTCCTTCAACCTAGATCCACCCTTGCACCTAGATCCACCCTTGCACCTAGATCCACCCTTGCACCTAGATCCACCCTTGCACCTAGATCCACCCTTGCACCTAGATCCACCCTTGCACCTAGATCCACCCTTGCACCTCTCGCTTCTTGTGCTGTACTGCCCCTGCCTCAACGTGCTTTGCTCATTGATACCTCACCACTCCATTGCGCCTTGCTTAACCAACTATGTCTCCCCTTCCTTTCCCTTTCCTCTGCCTGTCCGTTTCCTCCCATTCACCTTCAGCTTACCACCAGTGGCACCCTCGCATGGCCCCATTCCCCGGACGCCTCTCACCATTCCACCCCACGGGGCCACCGCTGCTGCCCACCTCTCCCACTCACCTCCCCTCACCACCACCAGCCGGTCTCATCCCAGCAGCCCCCCTCTCACCCTCCGCCGCATTTCGTCCTCAAGTGCCGATGCCGTCGCCATTGCTGCAGCTGCTGCAGCCCAAGCTGCTTCACTCTTAGCCAATCCGCACCTCCCTGCTCCATCTGCCACGTTAGCAGGCCCTGCCAGCATGGCAACAACAAGCCATGGCGCAACATCACCCCCTGCCATCGGCCCCTCTTTTCCTCTCTCCAGAAGTGGCAGTGCTGTCAGCATCGGCTGCCCTTCTCCCGTGCTCGCATCCTCTGCTGCACCTGTGGATGGCCGAAGGGCAGCAGGCAGGAGACACAGCAGAGGAGGGAGTGATGCATGGTGGGCGGTGGCGGGGGAGAGAGAAGGGCCGAGGGGGGAGAGGGGAGGAGGAGGAGAGCCAGGTGCGGCAATTGAGGAGGGCATGGCGTGGGAGCAGCAGCTGTGTCTCGCAGCGCCTCTTGTGTTGAAGAACCTTCTTCTTGTGCCAGTTACTGTCACGCTGATCTGCACAGACCAGCACGTTCTGCTGCCAACCACCATCTACATTCCTCCTGTGAGCTGCCTTATCTTGCTTGCGCGCCGCTGTATCCACAGGTCCGCTTCCCTTCCTAGTTCCCACAGTAAGCTCCCTGTGTTGCTCCTTCTGCAGCCTTGCTCTGCACTCTCTGTACTTTTGTGGGTTGGTTGTTCTGCTCGTTTGTCTGATGGAATGAGCTGCTGTCTTGTTTTCCTTTGTTGCCCCCCTCCCCTCCTGCACAGGGCTCGTCTGTGGAGGTGTTTGACTTCCCCGCCCACAACACCCTGCATGCCACGCTGCTCGTCCCTGGCTTTCAAGAGTCTCCACCTCTGCTGCTGCCCGCACCTCCTGCTGCCAGCACCAACGGCGGGCGGCAAGGGGGGCAGAAGAAGAGGGGATGGAGGGGAAAAGATGGGGAGGAGGGACAGGACAGGCGGGGGGAAGAATGGCAGCAGAACAAGGAGGAGGAGGTGCTGCTCACTCGCATCACAGGTGGGTGCCGCTAAGTAGTGGGGGCGCTAAGTGGTGGCCGCTAAGTGGGGGGGGCGCTAAGCGGGGGCCGCTAAGTGGGGGGCGATAATTGGGGGGCGCGAAGTGGGGGGCGCTAAGTGGGGGGCGCTAATTGGGGGCTGCTAAGTGGGGGGTGCTAAGTGGGGGCTGCTAAGTGGGGGGTGCTAAGTGGGGGCTGCTAAGTGGGGGGCGATAAGTGGGGGGTGCTAAGTGGGGGCTGCTAAGTGGGGGGTGCTAAGTGGGGGCTGCTAAGTGGGGGGCGCTAGTGGAGAGCGCTAAGTGTGGAGGGCACTAAGTTGGGGCCGCTAAGTGGGGGGCGCTAAGTGGGGGGTGGAGGGCATTAAGTGGGGGCGCTACCTAGTACACGCGCGCGAGTTGGTCCACGCGCGCGACTTGGTCCACGCGCGCGCCTTGGTCCACGCGCGCGCCTTGGTCCACGCGCGCGCATTGGTCCACGCGCGCGCCTTGGTTCACGCGCGCACCTTGGTCCACGCGGGCACCTTGGTCCACGCGAGCGCCTTGGTCCACGCGCGCGCCTTGGTCCACGCGCGCGACTTGATCCGCGCGCGCGACTTGGTCCACGAGCGCGCCTTGGTCCACGTGCGCGCCTTGGTCCACGCGCGTGCATTGGTCCACGCGCGCGCCTTGGTCCACGCGCGCGTCTTGGTCCACGCGCGCGCCTTGGTCCACGCGCGCGCCTTGGTCCACGCGCGCGTCTTGGTCCACGCGCGCGCCTTGGTCCATGCGCGCGCCTTGGTCCACGCGCGCGACTTGGTCCACGCGCGCGACTTTGTCCGCGCGTGCGCCATGTTCCACGCGCGCGACTTGGTCCGCGCGTGCGCCATGGTCCATGCGCGCTCCTTGGTCCACGCGCGCGCCTTGGTCCACGCGCGCTCCTTGGTCCACGCGCGCGCCTTGGTCCACGCGCGCCTCTTGGTCCACGCGCGCGACTTGGTCCACGCGCCCGCATTGGTCCACGCGCGCGCCTCGGTCCACGCGCGCGCCTTGGTCCACGCGCGCGCCTTGGTCCACGCGCACGCCTTGGTCCACGCGCACGCCTTGGTCCACGCCCGCGTTCTCGACGCGCGACCTGGTCCGCGCGCGCGCCATGGTCCACGCGCGCGACTTGGTCCACGCGCGCGCCTTGGTCCAAGCGCGCCTTGGTCCACGCGCACGCCTTGGTCCACGCCCGCTTTCTCGACGCGCGACCTGGTCCGCGCGCGCGCCATGGTCCACACGTGCAACTTGGTCCACGCGCGTGACTTGGTCCACGCGCGCGCCTTCGTCCACGCGCGCTCCTTGGTCCACGCGCGCGCCTTGGTCCACGCGCGCGCCTTGGTCCCCGCGCGCGCCTTGGTCCACGTGCGTGCCTTGGTCCACGCGTGCACCTTGGTCCACGCGCGCGCCTTGGTCCACGCGCGCGCCTTGGTCCACGCGCGCGTCTTGGTCCACGCGCGCGACTTGGTCCACGCGCCCGCATTGGTCCACGCGCGCGCCTTGGTCCACGCGCACGCCTTGGTCCACGCCCGCTTTCTCGACGCGCGACCTGGTCCGCGCGCGCGCCATGGTCCACACGTGCGACTTGGTCCACGCGCGCAACTTGGTCCACGCGCGCGCCTTGGTCCACGCGCGCGCCTTGGTCCACGCGCGCGCCTTGGTCCACGCGCGCGACTTGGTCCACGCGCCTGCATTGGTCCGCGCGCGCGCCTCGGTCCACGCGCGCGCCTTGGTCCACGCGCGCGCCTCGGTCCACGCGCGCGCCTTGGTCCACGCGCGCGCCTTGGTCCACGCGCACGCCTTGGTCCACACGCACGCCTTGGTCCACGCCCGCGTTCTCGACGCGCGACCTGGTCCGCGCGCGCGCCATGGTCCACGCGCGCGACTTGGTCCACGCGCGCGCCTTGGTCCGAGCGCGCCTTGGTCCACGCGCACGCCTTGGTCCACGCCCGCTTTCTCGACGCGCGACCTGGTCCGCGCGCGCGCCATGGTCCACACGTGCGACTTGGTCCACGCGCGTGACTTGGTCCACGCGCGCGCCTTCGTCCACGCGCGCTCCTTGGTCCACGCGTGCGCCTTGGTCCACGCGCGCGCCTTGGTCCCCGCGCGCGCCTTGGTCCACGTGCGTGCCTTGGTCCACGCGTGCACCTTGGTCCACGCGCGCGCCTTGGTCCACGCGCGCGCCTTGGTCCACGCGCGCGTCTTGGTCCACGCGCGCGATTTGGTCCACGCGCCCGCATTGGTCCACGCGCGCGCCTTGGTCCACGCGCACGCCTTGGTCCACGCCCGCTTTCTCGACGCGCGACCTGGTCCGCGCGCGCGCCATGGTCCACACGTGCGACTTGGTCCACGCGCGCAACTTGGTCCACGCGCGCGCCTTGGTCCACGCGCGCGCCTTGGTCCACGCGCGCGCCTTGGTCCACGCGCGCGCCTTGGTCCACGCGCGCGACTTGGTCCACGCGCCCGCATTGGTCCGCGCGCGCGCCTCGGTCCACGCGCGCGCCTTGGTCCACGCGCGCGCCTCGGTCCACGCGCGCGCCTTGGTCCACGCGCGCGCCTTGGTCCACGCGCACGCCTTGGTCCAAGCGCACGCCTTGGTCCACGCCCGCGTTCTCGACGCGCGACCGGGTCCGCGCGCGCGCCATGGTCCACGCGCGCGACTTGGTCCACGCGCGCGCCTTGGTCCGAGCGCGCCTTGGTCCACGCGCACGCCTTGGTCCACGCCCGCTTTCTCGACGCGCGACCTGGTCCGCGCGCGCGCCATGGTCCACACGTGCGACTTGGTCCACGCGCGTGACTTGGTCCACGCGCGCGCCTTCGTCCACGCGCGCTCCTTGGTCCACGCGCGCGCCTTGGTCCACGCGCGCGCCTTGGTCCCCGCGCGCGCCTTGGTCCACGTGCGTGCCTTGGTCCACGCGTGCACCTTGGTCCACGCGCGCGCCTTGGTCCACGCGCGCGCCTTGGTCCACGCGCGCGTCTTGGTCCACGCGTGCGACTTGGTCCACGCGCCCGCATTGGTCCACGCGCGCGCCTTGGTCCACGCGCACGCCTTGGTCCACGCCCGCTTTCTCGACGCGCGACCTGGTCCGCGCACGCGCCATGGTCCACGCGCGCGCCATGGTCCACGCGCGCGCCTTGGTCCACGCGCACGCCTTGGTCCACACGCACGCCTTGGTCCACGCCCGCGTTCTCGACGCGCGACCTGGTCCGCGCGCGCGCCATGGTCCACGCGCGCGACTTGGTCCACGCGCGCGCCTTGGTCCGAGCGCGCCTTGGTCCACGCGCACGCCTTGGTCCACGCCCGCTTTCTCGACGCGCGACCTGGTCCGCGCGCGCGCCATGGTCCACACGTGCGACTTGGTCCACGCGCGTGACTTGGTCCACGCGCGCGCCTTCGTCCACGCGCGCTCCTTGGTCCACGCGCGCGCCTTGGTCCACGCGCGCGCGCCTTGGTCCCCGCGCGCGCCTTGGTCCACGTGCGTGCCTTGGTCCACGCGTGCACCTTGGTCCACGCGCGCGCCTTGGTCCACGCGCGCGCCTTGGTCCACGCGCGCGTCTTGGTCCACGCGCGCGACTTGGTCCACGCGCCCGCATTGGTCCACGCGCGCGCCTTGGTCCACGCGCACGCCTTGGTCCACGCCCGCTTTCTCGACGCGCGACCTGGTCCGCGCGCGCGCCATGGTCCACACATGCGACTTGGTCCAAGCGCGCAACTTGGTCCACGCGCGCGCCTTGGTCCACGCGCGCGCCTTGGTCCACGCGCGCGCCTTGGTCCACGCGCGCGACTTGGTCCACGCGCCTGCATTGGTCCGCGCGCGCGCCTCGGTCCACGCGCGCGCCTTGGTCCACGCGCGCGCCTCGGTCCACGCGCGCGCCTTGGTCCACGCGCGCGCCTTGGTCCACGCGCACGCCTTGGTCCACACGCACGCCTTGGTCCACGCCCGCGTTCTCGACGCGCGACCTGGTCCGCGCGCGCGCCATGGTCCACGCGCGCGACTTAGTCCACGCGCGCGCCTTGGTCCGAGCGCGCCTTGGTCCACGCGCACGCCTTGGTCCACGCCCGCTTTCTCGACGCGCGACCTGGTCCGCGCGCGCGCCATGGTCCACACGTGCGACTTGGTCCACGCGCGTGACTTGGTCCACGCGCGCGCCTTCGTCCACGCGCGCTCCTTGGTCCACGCGCGCGCCTTGGTCCACGCGCGCGCCTTGGTCCCCGCGCGCGCCTTGGTCCACGTGCGTGCCTTGGTCCACGCGTGCACCTTGGTCCACGCGCGCGCCTTGGTCCACGCGCGCGCCTTGGTCCACGCGCGCGTCTTGGTCCACGCGCGCGACTTGGTCCACGCGCCCGCATTGGTCCACGCGCGCGCCTTGGTCCACGCGCACGCCTTGGTCCACGCCCGCTTTCTCGACGCGCGACCTGGTCCGCGCACGCGCCATGGTCCGCGCGCGCGCCATGGTCCACGCGCGCGACTTGGTCCACGCGCGCGCCTTGGTCCGAGCGCGCCTTGGTCCACGCGCACGCCTTGGTCCACGCCCGCTTTCTCGACGCGCGACCTGGTCCGCGCGCGCGCCATGGTCCACACGTGCGACTTGGTCCACGCGCGTGACTTGGTCCACGCGCGCGCCTTCGTCCACGCGCTCTCCTTGGTCCACGCGCGCGCCTTGTTCCACGCGCGCGCCTTGGTCCTTGCGCGCGCCTTGGTCCACGTGCGTGCCTTGGTCCACGCGTGCACCTTGGTCCACGCGCGCGCCTTGGTCCACGCGCGCGCCTTGGTCCACGCGCGCGTCTTGGTCCACGCGCGCGACTTGGTCCACGCGCCCGCATTGGTCCACGCGCGCGCCTTGGTCCACGCGCACGCCTTGGTCCACGCCCGCTTTCTCAACGCGCGACCTGGTCCGCGCGCGCGCGCCATGGTCCACACGTGCGACTTGGTCCACGCGCGCAACTTGGTCCACGCGCGCGCCTTGGTCCACGCGCGCGCCTTGGTCCACGCGCGCGCCTTGGTCCACGCGCGCGCCTTGGTCCACGCGCGCGACTTGGTCCACGCGCCCGCATTGGTCCGCGCGCGCGCCTCGGTCCACGCGCGCGCCTTGGTCCACGCGCACGCCTTGGTCCACGCGCACGGCTTGGTCCACGCCCGCGTTCTCGACGCGCGACCTGGTCCGCGCGCGCGCCATGGTCCACGCGCGCTCCTTGGTCCACGCGCGCGCCTTGGTCCCCGCGCGCGCCTTGGTCCACGTGCGTGCCTTGGTCCACGCGTGCACCTTGGTCCACGCGCGCGCCTTGGTCCACGCGCGCGCCTTGGTCCACGCGCGCGTCTTGGTCCACGCGCGCGACTTGGTCCACGCGCCCGCATTGGTCCACGCGCGCGCCTTGGTCCACGCGCACGCCTTGGTCCACGCCCGCTTTCTCAACGCGCGACCTGGTCCGCGCGCGCGCCATGGTCCACACGTGCGACTTGGTCCACGCGCGCAACTTGGTCCACGCGCGCGCCTTGGTCCACGCGCGCGCCTTGGTCCACGCGCGCGCCTTGGTCCACGCGCGCGCCTTGGTCCACGCGCGCGACTTGGTCCACGCGCCCGCATTGGTCCGCGCGCGCGCCTCGGTCCACGCGCGCGCCTTGGTCCACGCGCACGCCTTGGTCCACGCGCACGCCTTGGTCCACGCCCGCGTTCTCGACGCGCGACCTGGTCCGCGCGCGCGCCATGGTCCACGCGCGCGACTTGGTCCACGCGCGCGCCTTGGTCCACGCGCATGCCTTGGTCCACGCGCGCGCCTTGGTCCATGCGCGCGCCTTGGTCCGAGCGCGCGCCTTGGTCCACTAGCGCACCTTCGTCCACGCGCGCGCCTTGGTCCACGGGGGCGCATTGGTCCACGGGGGCGCCTTTGTCCACGAGGGCGCCTTGGTCCACGCGCGCGTCTTGGTCTACGCGCGCGCCTTGGTCCACGCGCGCGGCTTTCTCTATGCGCGCGCCTTTCTCCACGTGCGTGCCTTTCTCTACGCGCGCGCCTTGGTCCACGCGCGCACTTTGGTCCGCGCGCTCGCCTTGGTCCGCGCGCGCGCCTTGGTCCGCGCGCGCGCCTTGGTCCACGCGCGCGCCTTGGTCCACGGGAGCACCTTGGTCCACGCGAGCGCCTTGGTCCACGCGCGCGCCTTGGTCCACGCACGCGACCTGGTCCAAGCGCGCGGTCCAAATTATTCAATTTTCGCACACTCCTTTCCAGGCTGCAGCCATGTCTTGTCTCGTGTACCAGCACCCAATCATCTCTGCCACTCATTTGTTCGTACCCCGTGCCTTGTTTCTCACCCCCCTGCCTCCCATCAGGTCCGCCTGTGCCCCTGCACCTGATCCACCTGCACCGCCCTGCCTCTGCCTTCCGCTGTCTGCACCTGCTAGCCCCCTTTACCATCGTCAACGCCACCGACCTCCCTCTCTGCCTCTCCGACGCGCACCTCCTCGCCTCGTCCTCCTCTCACCTCTTCCTCCCCCCGCACCCTGCCTTTCTCACAAGCGAAAGCCTGGCAGCCGCCACGTCATTGGTGGCGAGCGGCGTGCCGCTTGTGCCAGCTGGCGGCGCGGCAGCAGGCGGTGCAATGGGTGGTCTGGCAGCTGTGCTTCCTGGGATGACTAGTGGAGTGAGCGCTGCTGCTGGTGGCGGTGATACCAGGGCAGATTCACATACCCCTGCAGCCACAAACGTAGGAGCTGCGGAAAAGGGTACAGAAGCAAGAAGAGAGTGCAGCGCAGGAGGGAGCGAGGAGATAAGCCAGGAAAGAGCAGCGCTGCAACCCCCTATGGCCCTGTTTACTCCTGCCCCTCCCGCACCTGCTCTTGATGCCGACTCTGCTGCTTCTGGCGCCACTACAGGGCTTCATCACACCCAGCCAGCACTTGTGCTGCGAGTGGGGGGCACTGCTGCTGCTGCTGCTGCACCTGCGGGCCTTGGTGGTGCAGGGGGCATGCGCTCTCTCAATGCCCCTCCGCCTTCCGCTGTGCCGGACTGGAGCCATGTCTCACTCTCTGGTTGGTCGGCAGCTATCCCTGTGGAGCCAGCAGGTGGAGTGGCAGAGGTGCTGATTCCGCAGCAAGCAGGGAACAGCAGCGGCGGCGGCGGTGGTGGCAGCAGTGGTGTTGCTGCTGGTGGTGGTGCCTTTGCGCTGAGTCTCACCTGTTGTGATACTCTTGGTGCCTCTGTTGGCCGTGCTAAGACCATCACCCTTCGCCCTCGGTCTCTGCCCCATGCCATGCTACTTGACTACTCCCCTTGCTCGTCACTGCCCCTGCCATTGCTTCACATTGTGTACAGAGAAAACGCATTGCCTTGTGCGCCACGCATCGCGTTGTGACGCTCCTCAGTCGTTTCGCCCTGTAGCTGTCTCCTCCTCTCCTTCACAACTCATCCTGTTGTGTCTCTCCCGTGCTCTGTCCTCTTCTCACCCCACCCATCCCTCCTCCCCTTCACTCTGCCAGGTACGTACTAGCCAACAGCCTCTCAGCGGACATAAGGGTGAAGCAGCACGGCACGGACCGGCACGTTCTCATCAAGGCTGGGGGCAACGCACCCATTCACTTCACCAAACTGCAGCGGTACCACTCGCCTGCCCTCCCCACCAGCACCACTCCTGGCTTTATTTGTAACACTTGCTTGTTACAGTGCAGTGCAACGTTAATTTGTGCACCGTGAATTATGCTGCCTGTTATCGCTCTCCTCTTTTACCCTCTCCCCTCCCTCCCTCCCTCCCCTTTCCACCCTTCCCCACTTCCCCCCTTCGTCCGGATTCCCCCCACTCTGACCCTCCGACAGTCGGCTCTACCTGTCACTGCGCCTGGCTGACAGCAGCTGTGAATGGTCCGGTGCCTTCCGTCCTTCTCAGCTAGGGGACACCCAGCTCAAGCTGCGCTGCTCGCTTTCCCCCTCCTCGCCCTCCTCGCCCCTCGCCCTCACTCGCATCGTGAGAGTTGACGTGTCACTCGCCGAACCCCATCTGCCACAGGCTGCTGCCCCAGCTGCTGCTGCTGCCACGCATACAGCTTCTGCTGCTTCTAACGATGCTGCTGCCGGTACTGCTACGAACAGCACTGGCAGCGGCAGCAACAGTGGTGGGAACTCTGGGAGCACTGAGGCAGAAAACTTTGGCAGCGGGGGTGGCAGTGGTGCTGGCAGCAGCAGGGGAGGCGACGGCAGCGGCAAGTGGAGTGGTGGTGGCACGTACCTGGTCGTGATTGGGGAGGACGACTCGGGCTTCATGCCCTTTCGTATTGACAACTGTTGCCGTGAGGTGAGCACGCGTAGGGGATAGGTAGGGGGACGGACACACACATCGCTTTCAAAAAAAAAAAAAAAAAAAAAAACAGAATCACACAAAACAGGTGGAGGACAAGCCTCCCTGTCCACCAAATCTCCTGCTACCTGCGTGCTTCCTACTGCCCCTCCCCCCTCCCATGCTGCTCGCAGGTGCTGCGCTTCTACCAGCGCGGGTGCGAGGGGCTGGGCCACACCGACTCCCTCAAACCATTCGCCGCCACGCCCTATGCATGGGACGAACCCTGCCGCCCACACCGCCTGGTGCTTGAGGTGAGCATTGGGCAGGATGTTCACGTGCCGAGCCGAGCGCTTGATGCACGCTCCTATGGGCGCTCCTATGGGCGCTCCTATGGGCGCTCATGCTCCCTGCTGCCCCTACCTTGTGTCGTATCATGCCCTCACGCTCCTATGGGTGCTCATGCTCCCTGCTGCCCCTACCTTGTGTCGTATCATGCCCTCACGCTCCTATGGGTGCTCATGCTCCCTGCTGCCCCTACCTTGTGTCGTATCATGCCCCCACGCTCCTATGGGTGCTCATGCTCCCTGCTGCCCCTACCTTGTGTCGTATCATGCCCCCACGCTCCTATGGGTGCTCATGCTCCCTGCTGCCCCTACCTTGTGTCGTATCATGCCCCCACGCTCCTATGGGTGCTCATGCTCCCTGCTGCCCCTACCTTGTGTCGTATCATGCCCCCACGCTCCTATGGGTGCTCATGCTCCCTGCTGCCCCTACCTTGTGTCGTATCATGCCCCCACGCTCCTATGGGTGCTCATGCTCCCTGCTGCCCCTACCTTGTGTCGTATCATGCCCCCACGCTCCTATGGGTGCTCATGCTCCCTGCTGCCCCTACCTTGTGTCGTATCATGCCCCCACGCTCCTATGGGTGCTCATGCTCCCTGCTGCCCCTACCTTGTGTCGTATCATGCCCCCACGCTCCTATGGGTGCTCATGCTCCCTGCTGCCCCTACCTTGTGTCGTATCATGCCCCCACGCTCCTATGGGTGCTCATGCTCCCTGCTGCCCCTACCTTGTGTCGTATCATGCCCCCACGCTCCTATGGGTGCTCATGCTCCCTGCTGCCCCTACCTTGTGTCGTATCATGCCCCCACGCTCCTATGGGTGCTCATGCTCCCTGCTGCCCCTACCTTGTGTCGTATCATGCCCCCACGCTCCTATGGGTGCTCATGCTCCCTGCTGCCCCTACCTTGTGTCGTATCATGCCCCCACGCTCCTATGGGTGCTCATGCTCCCTGCTGCCCCTACCTTGTGTCGTATCATGCCCCCACGCTCCTATGGGTGCTCATGCTCCCTGCTGCCCCTACCTTGTGTCGTATCATGCCCTCACGCTCCTATGGGTGCTCATGCTCCCTGCTGCCCCTACCTTGTGTCGTATCATGCCCCCACGCTCCTATGGGTGCTCATGCTCCCTGCTGCCCCTACCTTGTGTCGTATCATGCCCTCACGCTCCTATGGGTGCTCATGCTCCCTGCTGCCCCTACCTTGTGTCGTATCATGCCCCCACGCTCCTATGGGTGCTCATGCTCCCTGCTGCCCCTACCTTGTGTCGTATCATGCCCCCACGCTCCTATGGGCGCTCATGCTCCCTGCTGCCCCTACCTTGTGTCGTATCATGCCCCCACGCTCCTATGGGTGCTCATGCTCCCTGCTGCCCCTACCTTGTGTCGTATCATGCCCCCACGCTCCTATGGGTGCTCATGCTCCCTGCTGCCCCTACCTTGTGTCGTATCATGCCCCCACGCTCCTATGGGTGCTCATGCTCCCTGCTGCCCCTACCTTGTGTCGTATCATGCCCCCACGCTCCTATGGGTGCTCATGCTCCCTGCTGCCCCTACCTTGTGTCGTATCATGCCCCCACGCTCCTATGGGTGCTCATGCTCCCTGCTGCCCCTACCTTGTGTCGTATCATGCCCCCACGCTCCTATGGGTGCTCATGCTCCCTGCTGCCCCTACCTTGTGTCGTATCATGCCCCCACGCTCCTATGGGTGCTCATGCTCCCTGCTGCCCCTACCTTGTGTCGTATCATGCCCCCACGCTCCTATGGGTGCTCATGCTCCCTGCTGCCCCTACCTTGTGTCGTATCATGCCCCCACGCTCCTATGGGTGCTCATGCTCCCTGCTGCCCCTACCTTGTGTCGTATCATGCCCTCACGCTCCTATGGGTGCTCATGCTCCCTGCTGCCCCTACCTTGTGTCGTATCATGCCCCCACGCTCCTATGGGGGCTCATGCTCCCTGCTGCCCCTACCTTTTGTCGTATCATGCCCTCACGCTCCTATGGGTGCTCATGCTCCCTGCTGCCCCTACCTTGTGTCGTATCATGCCCCCACGCTCCTATGGGTGCTCATGCTCCCTGCTGCCCCTACCTTGTGTCGTATCATGCCCCCACGCTCCTATGGGCGCTCATGCTCCCTGCTGCCCCTACCTTGTGTCGTATCATGCCCCCACGCTCCTATGGGTGCTCATGCTCCCTGCTGCCCCTACCTTGTGTCGTATCATGCCCCCACGCTCCTATGGGTGCTCATGCTCCCTGCTGCCCCTACCTTGTGTCGTATCATGCCCCCACGCTCCTATGGGTGCTCATGCTCCCTGCTGCCCCTACCTTGTGTCGTATCATGCCCCCACGCTCCTATGGGTGCTCATGCTCCCTGCTGCCCCTACCTTGTGTCGTATCATGCCCCCACGCTCCTATGGGTGCTCATGCTCCCTGCTGCCCCTACCTTGTGTCGTATCATGCCCCCACGCTCCTATGGGTGCTCATGCTCCCTGCTGCCCCTACCTTGTGTCGTATCATGCCCCCACGCTCCTATGGGTGCTCATGCTCCCTGCTGCCCCTACCTTGTGTCGTATCATGCCCCCACGCTCCTATGGGTGCTCATGCTCCCTGCTGCCCCTACCTTGTGTCGTATCATGCCCCCACGCTCCTATGGGCGCTCATGCTCCCTGCTGCCCCTACCTTGTGTCGTATCATGCCCCCACGCTCCTATGGGTGCTCATGCTCCCTGCTGCCCCTACCTTGTGTCGTATCATGCCCCCACGCTCCTATGGGTGCTCATGCTCCCTGCTGCCCCTACCTTGTGTCGTATCATGCCCCCACGCTCCTATGGGCGCTCATGCTCCCTGCTGCCCCTACCTTGTGTCGTATCATGCCCCCATGCTCCTATGGGTGCTCATGCTCCCTGCTGCCCCTACCTTGTGTCGTATCATGCCCCCACGCTCCTATGGGTGCTCATGCTCCCTGCTGCCCCTACCTTGTGTCGTATCATGCCCCCACGCTCCTATGGGTGCTCATGCTCCCTGCTGCCCCTACCTTGTGTCGTATCATGCCCCCACGCTCCTATGGGTGCTCATGCTCCCTGCTGCCCCTACCTTGTGTCGTATCATGCCCCCACGCTCCTATGGGTGCTCATGCTCCCTGCTGCCCCTACCTTGTGTCGTATCATGCCCCCACGCTCCTATGGGTGCTCATGCTCCCTGCTGCCCCTACCTTGTGTCGTATCATGCCCCCACGCTCCTATGGGTGCTCATGCTCCCTGCTGCCCCTACCTTGTGTCGTATCATGCCCCCACGCTCCTATGGGTGCTCATGCTCCCTGCTGCCCCTACCTTGTGTCGTATCATGCCCCCACGCTCCTATGGGTGCTCATGCTCCCTGCTGCCCCTACCTTGTGTCGTATCATGCCCCCACGCTCCTATGGGTGCTCATGCTCCCTGCTGCCCCTACCTTGTGTCGTATCATGCCCCCACGCTCCTATGGGTGCTCATGCTCCCTGCTGCCCCTACCTTGTGTCGTATCATGCCCCCACGCTCCTATGGGTGCTCATGCTCCCTGCTGCCCCTACCTTGTGTCGTATCATGCCCCCACGCTCCTATGGGTGCTCATGCTCCCTGCTGCCCCTACCTTGTGTCGTATCATGCCCCCACGCTCCTATGGGTGCTCATGCTCCCTGCTGCCCCTACCTTGTGTCGTATCATGCCCCCACGCTCCTATGGGTGCTCATGCTCCCTGCTGCCCCTACCTTGTGTCGTATCATGCCCCCACGCTCCTATGGGTGCTCATGCTCCCTGCTGCCCCTACCTTGTGTCGTATCATGCCCCCACGCTCCTATGGGTGCTCATGCTCCCTGCTGCCCCTACCTTGTGTCGTATCATGCCCCCACGCTCCTATGGGTGCTCATGCTCCCTGCTGCCCCTACCTTGTGTCGTATCATGCCCCCACGCTCCTATGGGTGCTCATGCTCCCTGCTGCCCCTACCTTGTGTCGTATCATGCCCCCACGCTCCTATGGGTGCTCATGCTCCCTGCTGCCCCTACCTTGTGTCGTATCATGCCCCCACGCTCCTATGGGTGCTCATGCTCCCTGCTGCCCCTACCTTGTGTCGTATCATGCCCCCACGCTCCTATGGGTGCTCATGCTCCCTGCTGCCCCTACCTTGTGTCGTATCATGCCCCCACGCTCCTATGGGTGCTCATGCTCCCTGCTGCCCCTACCTTGTGTCGTATCATGCCCCCACGCTCCTATGGGTGCTCATGCTCCCTGCTGCCCCTACCTTGTGTCGTATCATGCCCCCACGCTCCTATGGGTGCTCATGCTCCCTGCTGCCCCTACCTTGTGTCGTATCATGCCCCCACGCTCCTATGGGTGCTCATGCTCCCTGCTGCCCCTACCTTGTGTCGTATCATGCCCCCACGCTCCTATGGGTGCTCATGCTCCCTGCTGCCCCTACCTTGTGTCGTATCATGCCCCCACGCTCCTATGGGTGCTCATGCTCCCTGCTGCCCCTACCTTGTGTCGTATCATGCCCCCACGCTCCTATGGGTGCTCATGCTCCCTGCTGCCCCTACCTTGTGTCGTATCATGCCCCCACGCTCCTATGGGTGCTCATGCTCCCTGCTGCCCCTACCTTGTGTCGTATCATGCCCCCACGCTCCTATGGGTGCTCATGCTCCCTGCTGCCCCTACCTTGTGTCGTATCATGCCCCCACGCTCCTATGGGTGCTCATGCTCCCTGCTGCCCCTACCTTGTGTCGTATCATGCCCCCACGCTCCTATGGGTGCTCATGCTCCCTGCTGCCCCTACCTTGTGTCGTATCATGCCCCCACGCTCCTATGGGTGCTCATGCTCCCTGCTGCCCCTACCTTGTGTCGTATCATGCCCCCACGCTCCTATGGGTGCTCATGCTCCCTGCTGCCCCTACCTTGTGTCGTATCATGCCCCCACGCTCCTATGGGTGCTCATGCTCCCTGCTGC